GGGGGGGGGGGGGAAGATCATTCGTTGTTGGTCTGTCTATCTGACTGTTCAGTCGATTCAATGTCCTTGGATGAGAGTTGTGTGAAGAAACAATGTCTGATCGGGATCGTGTCATCGTTTTGGTAACTCGATTATCGTGTCTTTCATCGAGCTGTGAAAGTGAAAAATGGGAAGTAAGGGGTAAGCGAGACGAGCCAGCAGTAGAGTGACCATTGTTGTTGAGGCTGGGAGCAACAGAGTTGTTCATGGCTGGAATGCGAGTCGAGGTCGTCATTGAAACACCAGCACCCATTTTTCTCTTGTTTGTATAGGTGCGTGGGGCTGCAATGTTATGTTGTCTAGCAATGGAAAGCGGTAAAAACCAGGCGGGGAATAATTTGGGCCAATTCCTCAAAGAGGTTCTGTAAATTCACACGCATTGCCATAATCAAAGTTTGAGGTTGTATAAATTGTATCCTGCGTGGCCTTGATCACAACGTTACATGAAAAAGTCTCGTCCTCTACAGAAATGGAAAGAAATCGGCTGCCACGTCACAATATCGTAACCCAAATCAAAGATCTGCGTCCAATCCACCAAACATTTGCTCTTGCATACTCTTCATTTTCTTTAACTCTTTTTGTTCTCTCTTTTCTTCTTTTTTTCTTTTCTTTTCTTCTTTGCGTTGACGTTTCTCTTCCTTACTGAGTTTTGGTTTTTCATTGAGGGTTGTGGCATCATCGCCAGGCGCTCCCCCACAATTTGTTGCAACTGATGAGGATGTTTTCCTTTCATGTTTCTTTACATCAGCATTTACCTCCTTTTCATATTCCTCCTCTTCATCAGAATAATAATTTGGATTTTCTTCATACAATGTTTGCATGAGATATTTGTGAAGCCAATTCGGGTCACGTTTCTTCATGGCATCATGATCAATGGTCCACTCTGTAATTAGGTGCTGCTGTTCCATGGTGGTAGAGGTGGCTCCCAAGCTCTGGAGTGGCCTCTTGTAAATCATTCCGTTCTTTTCCATATTTTCAAATTTCGGTTTTTGTTGCTCTTTTTGTTCTCTCTGAGAACGATGTCTTGAATTTCTTCCACGATGATGTGAAGAATCTTTTAATGGATTCTTGTCTCCTTCGGGATCCTCCACTATTTTCTTGTAATAATTCGGAGCATGATCCACACAAATAATTCTACTTCCCAACTCAATCCCGTTCAAATTGTCAATAGCCAATATTGTCGATCGTACATCTTCATACGCAATAAAACAAAACCCTTTACTTGTTAATTCCTGTTCATCCCGAACCAAATCAATATCCACAATTTCTCCATACTGAGAAAATACAGAAAGTAAATCTCCCTCCGTGAGCCGATAATCCAAACCTCCGACATAAATATAGGCTGTTTTGTTTTTTTCTTGTTGATGCCACGAAGACGATGTGTTAGTGTATCCGAGTGCGAGTTCTTTCTGATTGAGTTCGTTGATTTGTTTGGCACGTTTCATTTTTTTTTCTGTGGAACCTTGCTTGAACAAGTGACTAACGCGAGTTTCTTCCACACAGAATCAAAACTTGCTTAACAAAAAGCTAGTATTATGAGTAATATGAAATTTTGAATGCTTATTATTGAGTAAATACAGTTTGTTTGTTGAATAAATCCATAGTGAGAGAAGATAAAAATCCTGGTATGGATCGAAATTGTGAAAGATACTTCATAATTTTCTCATCGATCGAGCATGCAAATTCTGAGGAGAGTAATTTCATGGCATTTCCGTCACTTTCAAAAAGAAGATAATCTTCAGGCGATTCTGCATACATACTGCTCAATCTAAATCGATTGGTCTCAATCACATCCACTCGAAAACCGAAAAGCAAATAGACAGATTTTCTAAATTCGTTAATTTTCTTTTGGAAAACTTCTTTGAGCTTGGTAATTCGGCGTTGAGCATCGGCATTCTCTTCTTTGAGTTTGACAATTTCTTGCTCGTTGTGAATGGCTGTTCCTGAGCGCTCTAATTGTTGTCTCAGTGTTTCCAACTCGTCATTTAAGAGCTTGTTCTCAGTTTTGAGTCGTTCCACATCATTGGAACTCGATTTTTTGGCCTCTGTTTCTGGATTAAGTTTCATGTGAAGAATTTTTACCTTGTCCTTATTGTACTCTCCACGTCCTAGTTTTTGTTCATAACGAGCAATCTCATTTTCCAGCTCGTCACGAAGCTTTTGTAATTTTTCCACTTGTTGCTGAAGATCTTCTGATTTTTGTTTGTATTCATGGCGGCTCGTGTTGATGCGCTCAAATTCCTTTTCCAAGGTTTCCAATGAGGTCTGCTTGTCTGTGACAGTGATCTGTAGAGATTCCATTTTATCTGCCAATGTCTTGATAATGGCATCTTTTTCTTCAATAATTTGCTCTAGCGAAGTAATTCGTTGTAAGTAATACGAGTTCTTTTCATCTTCCGCTGAGTTGCTTGAAAATGCTTCCTCCTTGTCGTTGATATGTGCAAATTTTGTGGCGCTTTCTAACTGCTTTTTAGCTCCAAATAATTTCACTTCAGCGTTGGTTAGTTTATCTTGCAGAAGTTGATTTTCGCTCCGTAATTGGGCAATGTCACTCTCTCGGAATGTAATCTCGCTAGTTAATCTTTGTACATGCTGAGATAAATCATTCTTTTCAATAAGCAGATCCTGAATACGTTCCTCTAATCGTGAGCACTTGGAATTAATTGTTTTGAGCTTGTAATCTACGTCTGCTGGAGTACAATCTACAAATGATTGCTCCCACTTCTTGAGCAATGATTCCAGTTCGAGTGTTTTTGAGCTCAATTTCTCATTTTGTACAGTTAAAGTTTCGATGGCAAGTAATTGCGATTCCAAATCTCTAATTTTTTCTTTGAGCAATTCTTGTGACTCCAACGATAATTGAGCTTTTTGGAGCTCAGTTTCTAATTCTCTAATTCTCTTCTTTTCGTCATTTCTTTGCGAAATCTCATTACGCAAATTCTTAATTTCGGATTCTAATGTGTTGAGTTCTTCCAGCTTCTTTTCCTGTTGGGAAATTTTGAAAACAAGAGACTCATGTTTTTGTGACAACATATCGTACTCCCTTTGCTGTGATTGAGATTTTTGAATGGCTTCAGATCTTGACTTGTGCGTCTCCTCAATTTGAGTTTGTAATGTCATATTTTGACGTTCGAGAGCATCGATCTGGATATCTTTCTGTACAATGTCACTTTTCAATGCTTCTACTGTTTTATCAATTCCCAAAAGCTTTGTTTCTACTTCGGCAATCATCAAGTCCTTTTGTGAGTTTAGAGTATGTTGCAATTCTTGAATAGCGTTGTTTTGTTCCAAAATTTGCTCATGCAATTTAGTAATTTCATCATTCTTACTTTGTGATTCAAGTTCCACGACATTGAGCAACTCCTCATATTGTTTCTTATAAAGCTCAGTTTGATTTCGTAAATGAGAATTTTCTCTCTCCCATTTGTCTACAATTACTTTCATTTCTCTAATCTTTTTTCGATCATTTTCAGATTCATTGTTCAACTGATCAATGATTTCATCACGTTCTCTTATACTAATATTGAGTGCAGAATTATTTGAGACGTCAAAAGAGCTCAAGTTCATATCGACTCCTCGTGAGGGAATTGTGTATTTTAAAAGTGGAGAATGTGAGATGCGACTGGTAGCAAAATCTTGGTTTCTTTCTACAGAGTTTGGAATGGGTGACAATTGCATTGGATTACTCTCCAAGTATGCATTTTGAATTCTGCTCTTTCTATCTCTAGATCTACCGGTATAAAGCCCAGCTTCGAGAAGATGTGGCGACGAAGGTTTTTCTTGATTCTCCACTGTATCATCCACATGGTCACTAAATAAAATATTTTCTGCATTTTCAGATCCGAACACTACTGGAGGAGGTGAAATATTGAGAGAAGAGTGGCTACTGTCGAGAGGATTTTGATCAGCTCCTTCTTCTTCTTCTTGATTCGTTATGAGCGTTTGAGAAGGGTTTTCAATGTTAGTATTTAAAGATGTTGTCATCTTTCTTTTTTTAAGAGGTGATGTCACAGATGAAACAAACATGTCTTTCCTAGATGATGGTGATGTTGATGATAAATATTGTTGAGAAGGTATTTTCTCACGAATAATTTCCTCATCCTCAGTATCATCACCAAATAAATATTTTTCCTTCTCATTTGCATAATCGTTTTCACTAGAAGTAGCAACTGTTGTTTGATTTTCCGTTGAAGTGGCTGCAGAATCATCAAATACAGTGAATAAACTCTTGGCTGTGGATGATGTGGATGAAGAGTAGGAAAATGTGTATAATTGTATATTCAAAAAGATGTTCGAAGAATGATCTCATAATGTACATTAATGTAGCACTTACCTAGGTGGCTTTTTCGCTTTCTAGTTCCAAATGTGTTATGTACATGATGTATAAAATTATTTTCAGTGTTTTCTGTAATATTACTGTCTGATGGAATGTGAAATGTGTTATTTACATTTTGATTTGAGACTTTATCCTTGGCTGACGAAGATGATGAGCCAGAAATGGAGGTCTCATTGTTTTCATTATAAATACTAGAAATTGCTTTTCGAACTGACGGGCTGAGCAAATGTGATGCCATCGGAGATTGTAGTACTTTTAAAGGTTGATTTTCTTCTCCACTATTTGTATTCATTGAGCTTACACGTGTTGTATTGTGATCATTGTTGGATATTGATGATGAAGAAGCTGCTAGACTCTTCTTTCGTTGATTCGTCACATTACTACCCGAGCTCATAAATGATGAATTATTATTGAAAAGGTTACTTGTATTTGTAGCACCAAAAGTTGAAGCTGACGTATTAATACTGCTAACAGCACCACTCAATGATGAGGAAGGTTTCGGAGGGAGCTGAATATTCCAATATTTATCAAAAGGATTCGTTTGATGATCCTCCTCTTCCTCGTCATTTCGTTGTTGTTGTTGTATAGATTCCGAATGAATGTTATGATTGGTTTCATTCTCAAGCTCGTGAGTGGACAGTACTGCTCCGAAAGTTCGTGTGGGTCTTGTATTTCCACCACTACTGCCACTGCTACCTGAGCCTTGTTGCTGAAGTAATCGTCTATTATTTAGTGCTTGCATCACGGACGGAGGTAGGTTTTCTGTTCGATCGGAATCGCTAAAGACTTTTGAAGGATTTAATCGATGCGTCAAGCTTGATGTTGTAGCTGGTTGTGGAACATTGTGTTCCAAGTGGTGGAGATGTTGATTACTTTCCAGCTGGTCATTGTTTTCGTCTTGGATGGAAATCACTTCGTCATCGTTGTTTTCATCTTCGAACACTGCGAACATTTTTTTAATTTAAAAATTTAATAAAATTTTTTATACTCAGCATTGGAAGTTATTATAATATCACCAACATAAATTCCCTCAAAACTGTCGAGACGAAAAAGGATTTGAACCTTTGACCCAGTCGTCGCGTTGATTGTACAAGCAAATCTGGATTTTATATCTCTTAATTGAAATTTCATGAAACATTAATGCTTAATATAAGCCAACATTCGCTCACAAACCATACATGTTCATCGTATTGAGACGACATTGTTCGAAAACTTGCTTGATTGAAATCTTCTTAATATCAGCAATTCTCTTGGCAATTAATGGAATATGTCCAGAGTGAGCAATGGGTCTCTTGCTTCCTGTATTGGGTGATTTGGAAAGGCGAACGGGCATGTAAGGTCCGTCGGTTTCCAATAAAATTCTATTCAATGGCAAGGAACGAACAACTCCTTCCAAATTTTGGTCCTTATTGTTTGAGTTTCCTCTTGGAGCATAGGTCACAACACCAGTAAATCCAATATACAAGTTAGGAAAGTGTGAGATGAGTTTTTGAGCAAATTCCTCTCTGTCTGTGAAACAGTGAACGTGAATCTTCCAATCTTTTGGGAGATTTTCTTTCATGATGTTGAAAGCATCCTCTTCTGCCTCTCTTGCATGAACAACTACTGGAAGTGAGAGAGCCACTGCATTTTGCAATTGTTTGGCAAAGCATGACATTTGTTGTTCTCTTGGCGAATTATTATAGTGATAGTCAAGTCCACATTCACCATACGCGACACACTTATCACCTGCTTCAGCAATACATTGATTAATTCTGTCTTGCATCTTTTCATCATAGTACGATGCATTGTGTGGATGTAAACCAAATGTCACACCAATATTCAAATTCTTCATTTCTATCAAATCTCTCCACAATCCCAGACTTGAGAATGAAGTTGGATCACATTGTACACACACAAATGCATTCATTCTTGACAATATTCTCTCAGAAAGCTCCTTATCCTTTGTTTCAAAACACAAGGTATCTATCAAGTTCTTTTCACTGGTAGAAACTTCACCCAATTGTGCTTTAAACATTCTTTGTAAAATGTATTCAAAATGGACATGAGTATCGACAAATCCCAAATCTGGTGTTTCATCCAAAATTTCTACCAATTCTGCCAAGGCTTGTTTATTGTAGGCCTCCAACCCTCCTTCTGATGAGGACGATGATCCAGTCTTGTTTGTAGTATTCTTTGGTTTTTCCGATCTAAATCTATCATTAGAATTATTGGAATAATTTGATGATGCATTCCGTTGATTATTATTTCTAGATCTTCCTCCTGATGATGATCCTTGTTGGAACCCACTGTTATTGGCTTGACTATATGAGAAAGACATTTCCGATTTTTTGAAAATGATTATCGGATGATGAATTAATAACTGATGATAATGTCCTCGGAAGAGTAGCAAGGATTTGCTTGGAGCTATTTTTTTAAGCATGATCGTTTTATGATGATGATGAACAACAATGATGATTCAAGCTCAGGAATTACTTCAACTTGGAATTTGTATCTGTCGAGCAGAGTGATTGGTTCAACAATTTTTTACGTTGATGAACATTATTTCCTTATCCAAGGTTCTCCATACACACTTCAGATGAGCCAACCTTAAATGTCGTCATACACACTTTAATTTCGAGTATGCGTAAAAACATCTAAATTCTTCAAAGAATTATAAACTGCAAATGAGAATGGAAATTCCTCTTCCATATGAATATCACTTCGTTGAATCGAGGCCTCCACACTTGGCACCAAACACAAATCTGCCATGGTCAAGTGTGCACACTCTCTAATGGAATACAATGTTTTTCCAGAATGCACTAATTCATCCATTCTCTCCATCGACTCGTATTGTTCTTTCAAAATTAATTCCACCTGTCGAAGACCCTTTCGATGCCATTCTCCAATCCACTTTTTGTTTTGTTCTCCACGAAGTTCTTTGGGTAACATTCTTAATAACTGAACATTTTGCATGGGTTGAATTCCTGCATTAATAATTTCACTCAATTGTCGAGTTTTAAATTCAATAAATAGATCAGATTTGGGAATTAAATATGTTCTCAACGGATATTGAGAGGTTTCTTTGTTATTGATACTACCACTACTATGCTTTTGATCATTCGAACGAATCACTTGCACCAAATGATCCAAAAACTCGACAATAGGTAAAGATTGAGTGAGTACAATTCCGTCCTTCTCTTCCACCTTTTCCCGATCGAGTGCTTTTACCACCAATGCAGGCACTTGTTTCATTGGATTAATCTTCAAATACGAACTCTCTTCATTTTCCTTTGCAAATAAATCAATAGGGATCAAATGATGACTTGTAAATTTTTGATACAATTCCAAACAGTAATTGTTTGAATCGACGTTGTTTTTCATCTTATTTTCCTCTTGATGATCGGTTCCGATACGAACATATCGGCTTAACATTGGTAAATGATGATACAAGGCTGCCCGAACTCTCCAAGAGCAAGTAGATGGAGGAAACGAATATAATGTAAATTCTAAAAAGGGTTGGAAACCACCACTCGTTCGAATGAGTCGATTCAACGGAATGTTCATGATTTGGATGAAACGACAATTTTTTTGTTTTTGAAACACATGTTTTCATTTCTAGACAAGACAGAAGAATATTTGAAGCTCTGACCTTCATTCTTGGCAAGAACAGTCTCTCCCGTACTGAGCTACCTGCCTTTAAAATTGAGACCGAGAGGATTTGAACCCCTGCCCTTGTTCATGCAGAGAACACGCTCTCCCGAACTGAGCTACAACCTCAAAATCTGATTCATAAAACAATCGAATTATTGCCTTTGGGACTATTCAACTTTTTTGCATCTCGAACAAAACGATAACATGTCATCAGTTATACATCATTGTCTATTTGTAACAACACGTTATTCGTAATGTACTTCAAGCAACCTATCCAATTTCGAATCCTCATCAAAAGCGAATCATCAAACGGTTTCATTAAAATCTCTCCCTTATTTCTCAGTGTTTAATACCAAATCATCTCATACATACCTTGCCTCTCTGCATCTAGTCCTTAAACCAATCTGCAACAAATTGATCTTTGGCTATTTGATCCACGTGATTACCACCTGTCAAATTTCATTCTCTTCCATTATCGTAATCACACACATTTTTCAACATAACCAAACCTCAAAGTCAGGAACACACCACAAACCACCATCTAAAAAAAACTGTCAGTCGTCAACAACGATGCGAGTCCACTCCATCCTTCTCTGTGTGCTTTTACTCACTCTCGCCATTTACGCACACGCCTTGACCGTCGCTGAGCTTCGTCAACTCATTCAAGCTCGTCGTTCAGGTGCTTCCGAAGCTGCTGGTTCTCAAACCACAACAACCACTCCAAAAGTGGACTTGTTTGATAGTTTATCTGATTCCTTGTTAAATGTCAATGAAGATGACCATGAAGAGGAGGATCATTTGGAATCTTTTGAACCAACATCAGATGCCATGTGGCCTGAAAGTAGATGTACCAACGTTCAAGGAGCTCTCAATGTTCGTTCCGGACCCTCTCCAAGTGCCAGTATTGTGAAAACGATTGGACCTGAAACCAAAGTCACTGTTTATGAAGTTGCCAATGCTGCCGATGGTTCTAAATGGGCACGCATTGCTACGGGTCAATGGGTTTCTGCCAAGTTTTTGAAAATGGCATGTGCCAACTCGAATCCTTCAACTCCTCCTCCTCCTTCCAACAATGATAGCAATAGTAAGAAGGCAGAGGAATCTCTTGTTCAAATTTTCCGTTCTGAAGGTAAATGTCAAAACTGGGCCAGCGATTCTGGAAATTCATTCCAAGGTAAAATTGGATACACATGCATGGGAGTCATTCCTTCTCAATGTTGGAATAATCGAAATGGAATTTTTGCTCCATTATTGGGAGGTTTCAATGGTCATCCTGCTGATTTTTGCAAATATGCCTATGATAAGAATACTGTCGTGTTTAAGCAATGTGCAGCTCAATTGTATATTCAAAATTATTTTGGACCTGGAGGTTGTAATCCTCTTCCAATGCCTGCGTTCTATGTGTGTGCAGATATTGCAGTGAATTCTGGAACTGGAAGATCGAGACAATATATTGCTGAATTGGGTGGATATCATGGACAAGATGCTAAACAATTTGCTCGTGCTTTGAACGAGAAACATAGAGCAGATTATAAGAGATGGGGATGTCCAACTTGTAAGAATAGAGGTATGTGTTGTTCTGAAATTTATCACATCAGATCATTTGATTTCTATGTGTGATTTTTGTGTGAAATTTTTATGTGGTTGAATATGTGTGAAATGTTTTTTAATCATGATAATATTGTCATGGAATTTGTGCATGATATTGAACTTGTCATTTATAGTCTTCTTGAAGGGATGGTTGGCAAGAGCTGATGAAAGAGATCGATTCATTGATAGGTATTAAGATCCAGGTGATGAATCTTGTCAGACATTGATTAACGTGGCTTTTTTTAAATTTCTATAATAATTCAATAATTAATAATAATACACTCTTCAATGTTGTTGACTACATTACAAATTCATTTCTCAAACTGTTGTTGAAATAATTGTTGGATTATTGCGTTATCATTTGGTTTTTTGGAATTTTGAAAAAAAAAATGTTTAAACCATCCACTCGTTCCACCACTGCTGTTCGTCAAGTGTTGAAGAAAAGTCCAACTTCAAGTTTGATCCAACAAAAGGCTCAATCCAATCCATCTGTTAGAAATCATTACGTTTCAATAAATCCAACAACCGGAAAGGAGTCCGAGAAGAAGTTTAAGTGTTTGAGTAATGAACAATTGGAAGAAGCGGTTCAAGCAAGTTGGAAATCATTTGAGGCTTGGAATCCGCAATTATATAGTGGTATGTAATTTCTATTCCTATTAAATCATGTCCTATGAATCATCACGGTGGGACATCCCGAACGTACAACAAATCATTCCGAATCATCATGACCCTCGGCATGTCATTTTACTATCATCATCATCATGATCCCAAATTTGGATGAATTTCATTTGAAATATTATTATTCTTTTCATAATGATGACGACAACGATGGATAATAACAACAATTGTTTTTGAAAATTCTTCATCATAATAATTAGCCAATTCAAAGGAACTCTCCGACCTCATCAGATGGCGTTGTGAATCTGTGATGAATCCTCTCGCTGATCTTTTTGATTCTAAAAAACATGAATTAGCAAAATTGATGGCTTTGGATATGGGTAAACCATTGGCACAAGGTGTCGCTGAAGCTGAGAAGTGTGCCTTGCTCATTCGATACTATGCCAAGAATGCCGAGAGTATTATGCGTGAAAGAATTGTTACAGAAAATGAAAAGCATATTAGTAAGGTGGTTTATCAACCATTGGGACCAATTTTGCAATGCGCACCATTGTAAGTTGTTGTTGTGTGTGTGAAAATGATTTTCAATGCTGATTATGACGTTGTTGGATGAAATTTTTCGGAAATGCTCCAAAATCATGACCCAATGATGAACGAATTGATACATGTATCTCATTTGGAATATTTGGATTTTATCTTTTAATGTCACCTCTCGTCGATTGTATATATCACCAAATTTACACAAACGATAGCAATTTTCCATATTGGCAAGTGATTAGGTTTTGCGTTCCTGCCATGCTTGCTGGTAACACGGTATTAATTCGTCACAATCATCAAGTTCCTCAATGTGCCGAATCTATTAATCATCTTTTCACAGAAGCTCTTGATAAGAGGTATGTTGTGAAAATACATATTCGCATAATTAATCATTTTTTTACAATTTATGCCTATAACAACTTTCCTTGATGTTAACAATTACAATAGTAATGCACCAAAAGAATTGAGCAAACTCTATCAAAATCTTTTCCTTGAAAATGAACAAGTGAGCACAGCCATTGCTCATTCCAAAGTTCGTGGAGTTGCTTTCACTGGAAGTACACAAGTGGGTAAAATTATTGCCACACAAGCAGCGGCAAATCTCAAAAAACATGTATTGGAATTGGGAGGTGCTGATGCCTTTATTGTTCTCAAAGATGCTGATTTGGAGCTTGCTGTCAAGAATGCAGTCACATCAAGAATTAACAATTGTGGACAAACATGCATTGCTGCAAAGAGGTTTATCGTAGAAAAGGATATTCTTCCACAATTTGAAAAGATGCTTGTTGAGCGAGTGAACAAACTTGTTGTAGGAAATCCTCTTGAGAATGGTGTAGAAGTTGGACCAATGGCAAGAAAAGATCTCAGAGACAAGTTGGATGAACAAGTTCAGCTCTGTAAACAACAAGGAGCTAAAATTTTGGCTGGAGGTTTTAAAGTGAAAGATAAGGAGGGATGGTTTTATGCACCAACTGTTTTGAGTGGTGTCACACCAGATAATTTTGCTTTCCATAATGAACTTTTTGGACCAGTTTTTGTGGTCATTGCTGCTGAGAATGCAGATCATGCTGTGAGTTTGGCCAATAACAGTATTTATGGATTGGGTGGAAGCGTTTATTCTCGCGATTGGAAGAAGGGAATGAAATATGCTGAAAAATTGGAATGTGGTTTGGCATTTGTGAATGGAATTGTTAGATCGAGTCCAGATCTTCCATTTGGAGGCGTTAAAGAAAGTGGTTATGGAAGAGAGTGTGGACCTGAAGGAATGCTTGAATGGTGTAACATCAAGACCATGTCCATTGAAAAATAATAAATACTAACACTTTTGACGAAGGAAAACTATCATTACACCAATTTTCTTCCTTGTGAAAACATTGACACGATTTCCTTTGTTTAAACAGCAGCATTATGAATGAATTTAGTTAATAAATTTATCTGTTTTTGAAGGAAAAAGATCTTAAGGTAATTTCATTGTCTGTTTTTTTTTGCAAACTTTCAAAGGATGAGGCAAGTTCTTGATTTCACTGGTTCTGGGACTGCCTGTTTTTTGTTTTGGAATTGCTCTTTAACGCTCTCTTCAAAATTTGGACCTGTATAGCCCAACTGTCCGCATTCTTTGATAAACACAACCACATTATCTTGGTGATCTGCGCTTTGTGATGTTGCTGAAGGTAACATGGATCCAAGTACTTCTGCTTCCACTCTACGTACAACATCTAGACCTTTGGTCACCTCCCCAATGACAATATTCTTGCCATCCAGTTCTTTGCATCGATTCACACATATTATGAATTGTGAACCATATGACTCGTTGTCACCATTCGTCACTGCCAAAGAAACAGTTCCTGCATGGTGAATATTTGGTTGTGTCGAGTGGTCCTCAAAAGTTTTTCCAAATATTGACTCATTTCCATCACCTTCTTTGCAGTTGTTGCTGTGTGAAGACGGCGAAGAACAATCCTTACCAAAATAGTTATGGCATTTCCACCAACCACTTGTACCCGAATATTCAATATCTCCACCTTGAATCAGTGTTGCCTGTATCGATTTATGAATGGTTGACCCTTTGAGAGTGAGGGGTATGGACCGAGAAGACAGACCTTTTTCTCCTGTACATAAACATCGAAAATTTTCTGCCGCCTTTGCTGCATGTTTCTTATCTAGCTTAATTTCCACGGTTCCTATATCCATGATTCCTGAATTTGAGGTGTCTAGAGACGATGACGAACAAGCTGCGACAAAATTTAAATATCTCTTGCGTGACATTTTGGCAAACTTTAACATGACGAATGGAAACAGTTCGTTTTCCGAATTCTCATCTATTAACATGGCTCTATAACCTCCCACATCCAATTCCAGGATGGATGGTCTGTTTTGAATTTGGTCGTCGTCTTCGTCCTGTCGAATAATGATTGGTACTGGATTCTCAGAATTGCTGTTATTGGTGTTTGGTTGAGATTGTTTGGGATACCTCGAAACGTCACAATTAAACGGCCATAATCGCCTGCACTCTCTTTCGTACAGGTCTGTAAATTCTTGTTTCATGATAGTCTTTCGAATATGGCTCTCATTGGAACAATTATTGAGAGCTGCATCCCTTAAAATTTTCCTCCAATACGACGATACATTGCTCACTCGAATTAAGTCTTTAAACCTCAGGAATGTAAATATTTTGTACAGTATTATGAAATCGTCCTTGAGACACGACAAAGTACCACCACAACCATTGGGAGGGTTCGGAGAGGCTCTCCTCCTCTGAGTGGACGACGCCGACTGTTGTTGTCGTGAGGAACAATCTGTGCTGCCTTGATTGGGTGAATGACCAGTACCACCATGTCCATAATGTCCAATCGTCAACACTCCACCACTACTCGGGCTTAAACTTTCATGAGAAGAGCGTGTGGTAATCGTTGTACTTAATTGCAATGTATGTAGTTGCAATGGAGATGAAGAAGATTTCAAATCTCCCGATGTCTCTCCATCCGATTCGGATTGGGTGAAGGGAGTGGGTGAAGCCGAAGTTGAGCTCCTTCTTACAATAAGGACTCGACTTCCATTCTCATCATCATCAATACGAGGCCATTCCTCTTCAGCATTATTGGGATGATCCTTATTTTCTTGAGCCACATCTTCGGGAAGCTTGACTACTTCCTTCTTGATGTTATCAATAATGAGAAGATCATCATCTCCGTTCACGTAATGTTTTTGTGAGGACCCTGTTTCCGAAAAACTCATCCTAGAATCCATGAGAAGCTCAATGTTTTTTGATCCAAAGTATTCAATGAATGAATGCTCGTTATAATCCAACGATTGGAATAAAAATGTAAAGATAAAATATCTCTTGAAAACGGTTCAGAGGAAACAACAACCCAAGCCACAACGAATTGTAAATTTTTTTGGTGTTGAGCGTCGCCTTATTTTTTTTCTTCGTTTGGTTTCAACGAAAGCTAAAGAAGGACATTGGAGTTAACGAACAATGATTCTTTCGACTTGCAACCAAACGGACTTGTGATCTGGAAAAGTTTTAGTGTGGAGACATTGATGGTTTCTATCGAGCGAGAATGACCACATGCATGTGTTGAAAAGGGCTTTGAGAGATATTCTAGAGTATATATATTTAAATAAATTACAATTTTTAAATGCAACAGGAGGTACAGCCTGTTATCCTAGGGACATGAAGAGATAAATACAAATCGTTTCCATAGCCTGATAATGATTCAAACAACATTCATCGCAAGTTCAAAACTCCTAATCATTTTGTCGACGATGGAACCACTTCGTCTTTTCTGACAAAATTCCCTTATTATCAAATCCAACAGGAAATCCTTGATTATTGACATAGGTAACTTGATTAGTGGTTCGGAACCGAGTCCTATCCGAATTGGATCCATCTTTTAAGGAAAATTGTGATGCATTTCGCTGATATCTTCGATTGACATTTTCATTGGGAAAATGTACTGGTAAAACATTCCGTGGAGCATTGACGTTATAGGGCACGAGTGGTTTTTGAACGGAGCGAGATGAAACACAAGGAGCAGCAGCTGCTGAATGAGGTCGAGCTCTTCGTGATGAGTGTAACTGCTCGGCCGTTACTGGTGTGATATACGTCGAATCGTAGGTAGATTCCGGAAAGAACCGATCGTCGCGTGCAGGTTTCGTAACATGTATGGGATGAACAATTCCGAATAATTCTCCATTCTTTCTGAATAATTTTCGAGTACTGCCGGTTCGGCTGGTTTCATGACGTGTCAGACTTCGTGTTGAGAGAGGCGACGAAAACATGTTGCAGTTAAGGGTTGTTGAAGTTTGTTTTTTTTTTTTGATATATGTAACGGAAATAATTAATTACAGTAGCGGACAGTTAGGGCGGTTGAATGTTTCTAAGAAAGTCCCCAATCAACAATCTTGGAAGGATCCAAAGAGCATGCGCATGACGAGAACAACTTTGGTTGTTTTTTATTTTCAAGCATAATGATGATTCCGTTACTTTAAGAAAGTCAGCTCATTTTCAAACATCTTTGGTTTGAAACGTTTGGGTAATTCTGAACCCGATTTCAAATCCAAAACTTTGGCATTTCCATCCAACTCGGAATTATTGAAATTGAAAAGACTATCTTGTTTGACCTTCTTTTCCTTGATATCGGTATACTTGTTAAAGTCAATGGTTGGTTTTGCAAAGACTTGTTCCAATTTAGGTGCCTCTCCTAATTCCTTGATAATTTCTGAAGATGAAATTCCAGTGGCAAAATCTTCAGACAAGTGTGACAATACAAATCCAACTTGTTGTTTTGTGAGTTCGGGACAAACCAGAGATCGCATTTCTTCCTGCAAGAGACCTTTCTGTACAATACACACGTCGGCAACTTGTCGACACAAAACAAAGGACTCTCCTTCCGCACTCGAAGTGGTTTGTTTCAATGTGTGTACAATTCCTCTCGAGTTGAACCAATTTTCAATGGAAGAAACTCTCATCTTGATCGAGATGGCGCTATTGGTGTTCATCTTGATTTGTAAAAAGTGATTAAAGCAGACAGCATCTAATCCACTTGCTAACCATTCAAAGAAGTGATTGGTCACTCTAGAATCTGTCATGTTACTGTCAAATTTGGTTTTCAATTCGGTCAAGCTTGACAATACAAACTTAATGTCAGGTCCAGTTTCACTGTCCATTGGATTCGAGCTGAAGAGAGATCGAATGAGCTTCTCACGAACCTTACGAACATTCTTAATCCACAAGTAAGAATAGGCCTTACCCAATGTTTTGGACATGGACACGAAAAGAGAATCCAAGTCATTAATCAAGCCCTCACTTGGAAGTTCATTCTCATTCAAAGGTCGTGTGAAAAGTGTTGGGAATTCAGGTGGGTCGAATAAATGATAATCTTCGTCACTCGATGCTGCTGACGAGATGGATGGTTTGGTCTTGTCCAAAATCACAGTGGCGTCTGCTGTTGCAGTTGGAGCAATCGATCTCAGAGCATTCTCAACAGACTTGGCAACATCCTTACTGAGCGCATGGAACAGGGCAAGCAATCGATAAATGGCATTCATCCAATATATCAAGTAGTCATCGTTGAAAGAATTCTTATCCACGACATAATCCAAGGCACGTGCCACGTTGGTAGCAAATAATTTGTTGGTTGGATGTGCCTCGTCGTTGATCTTCCACTTATTCAAGCACAAGAAGAGAACCTTGACAGGTGTTGGAATCTTGTGGATAATGACATCGACAAGTTGTACATGCAAAATGGAAGACTCCACAATAAATCTTTGAACTTCCATGAGTTTAGACTGCTCCATAAAGGTTTGCATTTGCTCTTTGAGAGCTTTGGTTTCTTCTTCGAGTTTGGAGACAGCCTCCTTATTTACCTCAGCATTGACTTGTTTCAAACTATCCATTTCTTGATCACGCTTCTCGAGAATGGAGTCCAATTCCTTGATGGACTTGGTCTTTTCTTCCAACTCTGTAATTTTCTCTTCTAATTCATGGTCTTTTTGTTTGATATTTTCGAGAACTTGTTGTAATTCACTTTCCTTGGTTTCGAGTTGACTGGCAAGAGTGGAAATACGTTGTTCATGCTCAGACAATGCCACAACCTTTGTATTCAATTCTTCATTCAAAGATTTAAGCCTCTCTTCTAGATCAGTTGCATGTCTCTCTTTCTCTGTCAATCTCTCAGTCACCCCACTGAGCTCAGAGGTAAGTTGTGAAATGACATTACCTTGCTTTTCTGAGGTTTCGATGAGTTGTGTTTTCTCTTGTTGCAATTCAATCTTTTCTCTCTCCAATTTTTCAACTCGCTCCTCTAATTCGTGCTTCATGCGATTCAATGCGTCTTCACCATTGACTTGTAAATCTAAGAGTTCGCGCAACTCTTTTTGTTTTTGTTGGAGTTCCTTTTCTCGGGACTCAATGATGGAATTCTTTTCTTCGATGGATCGTTCAAACTCTGCAAGTTTTTGTTTCAATCTTTGGAGCTGCTTGCTCACGAGTTGAGATGAATTTCCATTGGAATCTTCGGTCGTCGAGTCGATCAACAACGCAAGTTGTGAAATAATCTCGGCGATGCTGTTCTCATATTCTTCCTCTTTTTCTTTCAGTAGAGTGTTCAAATTGGTGATACTTTGCTCTCTATCTTGTACAGAGGCAGTAAGTGTTTCTCCAAGAGTCTTGCTTGTTTGAATTTCTTCAGTCAAATTGGAACACTTTTCTTCCAAAGTTTGAATGTTAGATTCGAGAGTTGTAATTTGAATTTTGGCTGCTTCGAGTTCTGACAACACCCGATTTCTATCCTGAGTGGTTTCCTCCAATGAATTCTTCATATTTTGCAATTCATTGCGTTGTCTTTCAATTTCTTGTGTCAACTCATTAATTTTGTCGCTATTGGCTTGCAATTCAGTTTGCAAACCGTACTTTTCTTGAGAAGAGTTATTCAGATTGGATTGAGCATTGTTCAATTGCTCCTGAATGTTTGAAATTTTCTCGTTTAGAGTCTGCAATTCAGTTGTACTGTTTTCCAGTTGTTCATTGGTATTCGAGAGTTGTTTTGAAAGTTCTTCCTTCTCCTTTTCATAGCTTGCAATGATTTCTTCCTTGTGGGCAACAGATTGTGCCAATTTGAGATTTTGATGTTGTTGTTCTGTTAATTGGTCTTCAACAGAGGAAATGGTGCGTCTCAATTCGGAAATGATAACACCCAAATCCTGCTTATCAACTTCGCTTTGTCGAAGGAGAGCTTCCTTTTCTTTTTCCAAGTTTCTCAATTTATCACAAACGTCATTCTTCTCTTCTTCAATTTCATCTCGTTCCTTCTTCATGTCGGCATACTTTTGTTCAACTTCTTCCTTGCTTCTCTTGACTTGTTTCAATTGTTCAGCAAGATCATCTTTCTCTTGATTCACTGATTTGAGTGTTTCTTGAGCCTTGTTCAATTCTTGCATGAGTCTGCCTCCCATTTCTTCCTTCTCATTCAAACTTGATTCAAGAATTTCCTTCTTTTCTTGTTTCAATTCTTCGATTTGTTTTTCTAATTGACTGATTTGACCCTTATATTCTTCACCATCTTCATTGACATTCTTCAATTGTTGATTTAGGCTCTTAATGGTGGCATCCAATGTGGAAATTTGCTCATTGAGTTGCTTCTTTTCAGTGTTGAGAAGATTCAGCTCTTGTTCTTTGGTTGCAATCAATGTAGCCAACTCTTCAATCTTATTTTGAGAGTTTTGATGAGCAATCTTAACTTCATGAAGCTCTAGAGAAATATCTTTGTGTTGATGCATCACTTCGGCCATATGTTTTTCAACTTGTTGCTTCTCATTTTCAAGCTTTTCAAGATCATCCTCCAATTTGTCCTTACTCTTGATGATACCTTCCAATTCTTTGGTCACCTCTTGTAACTTTTGAGAGGTCTTGGAGTGCTCTTCTTGCTCTTCCTCAAGCTGTTTTTTCATTTCATCTCTTTCGGAGGTATGAGATGTCTCCATTTCTTGTTTATCTTTCTGAAGTGTTTCAAGCATTTGACTTAATTTTTCAATGTTAAGAGTCTTTTCGTGTCTCTCCAATTCTAAACTCTCCTTGATTTGGAGAATTTCAACTTTGAGTCTTTGAATTTCATTATCAAGATGGTCTTTTTCTTCAGCTTTTCTTTGAATATCTTGTTTAAGAGAGTTGATTTCTTCTTGATCTTGTCTGAGAAGGTTTTCAAGCTCGGATTGCTTTTGCTTGAGCTCGCTTTCCTTCGTTTCAATCAATGAGTCCTTTTCAACAAGAGTTCCTTTGATGAAATTCAATTGTTCCTTCAATGTAGTGATCTCGTGATTCATGTGAGAGTCCTTACGTTTCAATGCTTGAATGATGCTGTCAGCAGAGTCGCATTCTTCATCAATGTCCTCAACCAGCTCTGACAACTTTTCAATAATGGAAGATATTTCATTCTTATAATCTTTCTCTTGTTTTGAAAGAGTTTCATTTAACTTTTCGATGGAAGTGGTTTTTTCTTCGATTTCTCTTTTCAGGTCTTGCAACATGGTTGAATTATTGGAAAGACTTTCCTTTGTCTCGTTACACACAAGTTCGAGCTTGGCGATATTGTCCTCCAACTCAACAATCTTGTTCTTCTTTTCAAATAACTCTTTGAGAGAATTTTCGCGTTCCTTCTCAACTTCAGCAATATGTTGTTCCTTCTCTTGGAGGCTTTCTATAAGTGAAGTTTCACTTTGCTTGGTACTCTCTTCTAAAGTTTGTTTTTGTTTGATAAGCTGCTCCTTTTCGTTCTCCAATCTTTCAATGAGTTCCTGTTTATCGGAAGCTTCTTTAGAAAGCAACAGGAAACGATGTTGTTGTTCGGTGGCTTTATCTTCCAATGATGAGATGGTATGTCGAAGCTCAGAAATGACAATGCCCAAATCTTTCTTTTCGATTTCGCTTTGTCTAAGGAGAGTGTCCTTTTCTTTCTCTAAAGAGTTGATTTGCTCGAGGAGATCCTTCTGTTTCTCCTCAATTTCAACCTTCTCTTGTTTCAACATATCGAGATTTTGTTCAACCTCTTCCTTGCTTCTCTTGACTTGTTTCAATTGTTCAGCAAGATCATCTTTCTCTTGATTCACTGATTTGAGTGTTTCTTGAGCCTTATTCAATTCTTGCATGAGTCTGCCTCCCATTTCTTCCTTCTCATTCAAACTTGATTCAAGAATTTCCTTCTTTTCTTGTTTCAATTCTTCGATTTGTTTTTCTAATTGACTGATTTGACCCTTATATTCTTCACCATCTTCATTGGCATTCTTCAATTGTTGAGTGAGATTCTTGATAGTAGAATCCATGTCAGAAACTTGTTGGTTGAGAGTTTCCTTTTCCTCTTCGACTTTTGTCAACAATTGCTCTTTAAATTCAACCAATTTGTTCAACTCTTCAACCTTAATCTCTGTCGCTTGTTGTTGCTTCTTGATATCAGCATGCTCGAGAGAGACAGTCGTGAGTTCTTTTGATACTTCTTTCAGACGATCTTCAACATGATTCTTTTCAGTTTCAAGTTTCTTTAGCTCTACTTCGAGTTGCTCCTTACTCTTTCTAATGGAGTCAAGTTCTTGCTTCAAAGTAGAGTTACTTTCGGCTAACTCTGCCCCATTTTGTTGAACTTGCTCCAACATTTCGTGCAATTTGCCGACAGTTGATTCTTTCTCGCTTCGTACAGCCTCTAATTGACCACGTAGCCCAGCAATTTCTTGCTTCAATTTTTCAATTTGCTCGTTCAGATCGTTGTGAGTAAGAAGGGCCTGTTCTAACTTTTCTGAGCTGGTCTTGAGATCTTGCTCCAATTGTGCGACTCTCTCTTCGCGTTGGGAAATAGTTTCCATGAGCTTGTTTTTCTCTTGTGTTGTAGATTCACCCAATTGATGAATGTTGTTTTGAAGCTCTGCAATTTGTTCCTTCAAAGATTCAATTTCTTGTTGCTTTTCACGATTTTCTCTTTCAATGTCTGAGAGTTTTCCTGAGAGCACTTGATTGCTATTCAGTTGCTCATTCAATTCATTAGACAACTTTTGTTTTTCTTCTTGAAGCTTTTTGAGCTTTTCAGACACTTCCTCCAGTTCCTTCACAAGTGAGTCCTTGGCATGACTAGAATCTGAAAGAAGAGAATGTTTGTCATGAGTTAACTTTTCAATCTCCTTGTTGAGCTCTGAGATTTGCTCCTGTAAAGTTTGATCAAGATGCTGCTTTTCTCTAACAAGATCTTGGCACTCTTTTGTTTTTTGTGCCAATAATTCAGACAATTCTTGCACTTTCTGTTCAGTTGTGTCAACAAGGTTTTCCAATTCCTTCACTCTCTTATCGGAGGTCTCTAATTCCTGTTTTGAAGAATTCCATTGTGACTCGAGTTCTCGTCTTTGTTCCTCGAGTTCCTGCAACTTGGTAGAAACATCTTCCTTTTCTTTCAGGAGCTCTTGATAGCGAGTATCGGAATCGCTTCCAAGTCTCTCCAATTCTTGTGTGGTTCTCTGCAGCTTGTTTTGATATTCCTCAAGATCTCTGTCTAATTTCTCACGAACAGAAATTTCCATTGACAGTTCTTCTTCTTTTTGCTTGAGTAAATCAGAGAGTTGCTTCTTTTCATTTCGTAGTGTGTCCTCAATTTCATTTCGTTCCTTCTTGATATTTTCAATTTCTTGCATCAGTTCATTCACTTCAGATGCTGTATTCTCCTTATCGCTCGTTAGGAGTTTTAATCGACTTTCAAGGCTAGTAATACTCTCCAAGGCACGATGCAATTCAATCTTGGTGCTCTCATTCTCGTGAAGTGAATTGCTGAGCTCATCTGACTTGGATTTGAGCTCCTTTTGCAATTCGATCGAATTATTCTTTTCTTCTTGCAGAGATTGCTCCAATTGTTCTAGTTTGTTTGAGTATTCTTGCACAGTGTCAGCAAGTGATTTTCGTTCCTTCTCAAGAGAATCCTTTTCTTCGATCGATTTGGCAAGATCTTGTTTGAGACCTTCGATTGTTTCATTAAGCTGAGTGCAAGTTGTGGTAAGCTCTTCGACACGTTTTGTTGAAGATTCTAATTGTTGTTTGATTAATTCTGTTGCCTTTTGAGCTGAATCGAGCTCCGAAGAAATACTTTGCAATCGTTGGTTGGAATCCTGGTTGTTCAAATCTTTCTCTTTGAGAAGCCTTTCAATAGTTTCTTTATGTTCAGCAAGCTCTGTAGAGAATTTGACCTTTTCTTGCTCGGTCGTGTCGAGTAATTGTTGAACTTGTTTCAAGTCATCGAGCAGTTTCTTTTCAAGAGAATTCTTTTCTTGAGTTAAACGATTCACTTCAGTCGATTTGTCATTTTCAAGTTGTTGAATTTGAGATTGGAGTAGTGAAATTTGTGAAAGGGCCTTTTCTTTTTCCTCCCTGGTTGAGGTTAGGTCGTTGTCGAGCAGACTCATTTTCTCTACTGCTTCGGAGAGTTCCTTTCGAAGCGAATCATTCTCCTGAGAGAGTCGTTTCGACGACTCACCACTCTCATTGAGCACGCTGTTGTACTTTTGTGAAAGTAGATTGTATTCTTGAGTTTGATGTTCTTCCTTGCTCTTGAGATCTTCGACAGTTTTCTCAAGCTGTGAAATCTGTTGAGTGAAATCATTGATTTTGTCTTGCAATGATTCCTTCTCCTTCTTTTCCTGTTCGAGCGATTTTTCATTATTCTCAATTTCAAGTTTTAACTCTTTTTCTGTGTTTTGATGTTGTGCAATTTCATTCTCAAGTGAATTTATCTTCTCGGTTAAGGATTTCAATTCATTGTTGAGTCTTTCCTTCTCTTGGAGTGCTTCGTCTAATTGTTGCTCTTTTTGTTTGATAGTGTTCAAAAGTTCTTGCGACAAACCTTGATGCTTTTCCATGGCTGATTGAAGAAGATTATTCTTTTCATTTTCCAATAGTTCTAATTTTTGATTGAGAATTTTCACATTATTCTCGGTAGAGTCTTTCTCCTTTCGAATAGACTCTAACTCAGAAGTGAGTTTCGTCTTGGAGGTCTCAAGCTCAATATTGACTTCTTTCATGGCGTTGAGTTTTAACAGTAACAAATCTGTCATGACTTGAAGTTCGTTTTGAATGTCATGAAGGTTAACATTTTCAAAATTGGAGTTTCTGCTGTGATTGACAAAGTCATCAGAAATTTTGGTTGCCTCTTGAACCTTATGTTTGAAATTGGAGTCATCGGTAACATGCACCATCGCTCCCTCAAGCTTTTTCTTTAGCTTGTTATACTCTTGAATGCAAGAAATAAGAATTTCATGTTCCTTTTGTGATTTTTCAAGACTCTCACTTGTTTTTTCCAATTTGGATAACAATTCAGTCTTTTCTTTCAAAATTTTTTGGATAGTCTCTTCATGGTCTTTTGATTCTTTGTCACGAAGATCTTGTAGCGATTTCAGCTCGCTCTTAAACTTTTCAATGTCCTTTCCTTTGTTTTGTGAGTCTGTTTCAAACTGTTTCAGATTAGAAAGCTCTCGGTTCAACTCGTCATTTGCTTTCTTTAGCTGTTGAATAGATTCTTCGAGTTGACCGTGCTTTTCTTCCGATTTTTTGAGTTTCATAGAGACAGAAGACGATTCTTCCTGTAATTCTTCAATCCTGTTTTCATACTCATGTGAAGCTTTTTCCTGTTGTCGCTTAGCTTCTTGGAGAAGCTCATCTTTTTTGTTTGCCTCATGTTGCAAAGACTCTATCCTTTCTTCCAGTGTTTTGATTTCTTTTTGCAATTTTTCTTTTTGTTGCTCGACTTCGACGCTTTGTGCTTCCATCTATTTGACATTTATCATTGAAATGTACGAGTATTGAAATTCATAGCAGAAGCGTATATTCAGATAATGTATAACGAGAACGTAAGAAACATACCTCTTCAATTTTGTCCTTCAATTGCTTGATTTGTTGTTCGTACTTTGTTTGAGCTTGCTTTTGCTTGAGTTGAAGTTCAAAAAGTTTGTTATCAGCTTCTTGATGAGCTTCTTGTACTCGTGAATGCTCTTCTTTCAATGTCTCTGACTCTTTTTGAAGCATTTCCAATTTTTCTAAAAGACTATCCCTCTCTTTTGATATTTGTGACACCTAATGGAATTTGTGTTCAAAAAATAGGGTCAAATGTAAGGGAAAACAATTTAATGTATTTTTGGAAATAAATAAACTTACCACTGAAGTCTTGTCATCCACTTCTAATTCTTTGATTCGTTTTTGGAGTGTGTCAATTTGTTTTCTCAATTCAGGGACAAGACCATGTTCTGACAGAGAGCCTTTTGAAAGCATAAATGATCCTCCATCATATGGAGTTGCGTAATCCTATTGTTGATGACATTGAATATTGAAATAATTTTGGTTGGTGATGCCATTATTTGTTAGACATAGTGCAATTAATTTACTTACATGATGAGTAGCTTCATCCTCATCTTCTACAGCATCTCCACCTGTAAATGTGCTTACACCTTCAAAATCGTCGTCACTGTTTCAGAAAAATATTTGAGAAGTGGTACGATATTAAGAATGTGTCATTTGATGACATGTTAAAATGTTGCGATTAGTATAACTACTTACGCTCCTGCAACGTTTTTCAAATTCTTGGAATTGATAACAATTTTAAGCTTGGCCTTTCCTGACAACTTTCCGATGGTCATTATCACTTCCTTGGTTTGAGTTACTTCCTGGTCTTCAGAAACAAATTGTGCCAAATCAACCTCTTCTTTTGCCATTACATTGCTCTTGGATTGATTCGTCTTTTTGTTTGTAATTTTTTCCTCCAGTGTTATCATTAGGTCTTTCTTTTGAAAGGCTCCCTTCTTTTTTGCAAGTGTACCATTGAATTTAAAAGTAGTATTCCAAGTGATGGTGTCACGTTCTACTTTGACATAAGGAGTTTCTCCCTTACGTTTCTTGCCTCTTTTCCACAAAATCTACATTGATAACAACATATTGATGGCACATGTATTTTGTGTGATGTATAGGGTCCATATTACAAATTGAAAATAAATAGTAAATGGGTAATGTTTGACAACATGATGAGGTTATGAAGCATATTTCAACAATGAATCCAAATAAAAATCAATTATTAATAATTCCGAACGCAATTCATAATCATCATACATACAGCATAAGAAACTTCCTCTTCGGGACCTGGCTTGTTTAAGGAGGTGTTCTTGAAATCATAGAGATGATCGACCGACAAGTTGAATTGAAATTTAACAGTGTCCTTGTTGAAAATTTTCTTTTTCAGCATGGTTGATGAATGGAGATCCTGGATAATAAATTAAAGAGTGTGGTTTGGGGTGATGATGTAATAAATGATACACGACGAGGATAAAAAATCTCTCTTTCCGATATCGAAGGGTGTGGATGTGCAAAATTTTGAAACTCTAAACAATTCGTTGAACCTTGCTCGTGTTGTTGAATGTTATCCGTTGTTGCTGTTGGATGATGAATTCGATTCCAATTCAAAAGCTAAATTTTGATTACGTATGCCAGACAACAACAAGAAGGAATTGGGATTTTTTTTTAAATGTGTCGTGATAGGTGATGATCGCTTGTTTTGGTGTTTAATCCAAAAAAATAAAGCTAGACACCACTGGTTCTAGACGACGCTTGAAAAACAATTAACAATTATTTAAATTTTTTGTTGATGAATCATCATGGAAGAATGGTGGATAATTTCTCTGAGAGAGGGTCTTTCACTTTTCATTGGGTGTGTCATTCGCTTCACAAACTTGCTCAAAGTTGGATCTTCGACGTGTTGTTGCATCACTTCAATCGATTTTCCAAGTGCATAAATATCAGAAAGTGTGGAAAAATCAATATTTGGCTTGTTTAAAATCTCAGGTGCCATAAAGGCACTCGTTCCTGGATTATTTTCATTAGACACTGTTTGCAGGTCTCGAGTCAATCCAAAATCACCCAACACAACATGAATGTCTTGTTGTTGAAAATCCAAACGTTCCACTAAAATATTTGCTGGTTTCACATCTCGATGAACCATATTAAACAATGACAAATATTGCAATGCTTGGGCAATTTGATTCATAACTTTCCAAAGCATTAATGTGGAGAGTTGTGGATAACAATTCAAACTCCCCAATGGATAATATTGCATTCTCAGTAACAAGTATTCACAAAGACAATTATGAAACGTATGCGTTTCATATAAATAACTGAACACTTTGACAATATGATGATGATTGAACTCGCAAGCTCGTTCCTCCTTTCTTTCGTGTTTTCTTCCAGTCATTTCAATAATTTTGATCACTTCATGATCATTAATTTTAAAAACAGCCGCAAATCCTCCTTGACCTATGAATTGAATACCATCGCCAAATTTTTGTCTCATGACCACTCGATATTCCCTTAATTGAGAATTTTCAACGTGGCTTAAAGTATTTCCGTATTGTGGCTCAGTGTTACTATTTACATGGTTAGCATTTACATTGTACGACATTATATTTGACACTAGTGCTGCATCACGGGATGATTGCGCAACCGTGCTATTGGAATATTGTGGTTGCTGTTGTTGCGTTGTGGCTTGCATCAAAGAGTCTGCAATAATTCCCGAGTAATCACCCACAATTCTACTTTTGCGAGATTGACTGGCAATACTCTCACCATGATTCTTACTGTTGGAGGAGCAATACCGTTCTCGCACAGTCTTGGGGTCTTGGGTTACCCTCATTCCATCATGACTCACCAACGTATGGTACTCACCACTCTTATCGGAACAAGCCATCAATGCAGTCTTGGTTGAGTCATTTGAATTTCCAGACAATGACATTTTCCTTTTTCTATTCCATTCTTCTTGGTCATTGTAGAAAGTAGGTTGAAAATGTTCATTCATTGAACAAATGACTCCGTTACTTTGTTGTAAATAATAACCGTTAGAATTATCCATCGTGTGTGGAGGTGTTTGGTTTTGAACCAACGTTGGTGATGAAGCAGAAATTGTTTCCTCTTTAAATTGGGCATTATAATGTTCTTGATTGTTTCGTGGATGATGACAATCCTCTTGTGCCACATGCAGAGCAAACAAAAGATGGCGATTCATGTTGAATTTTTTTGAAATTCTGTGAAAGGGGAGGTGCTGCTGGAACTTGCTCAAAACCTTGCAATCTGATTAATTTTCCATTTTCAATGCTGTCTGCTTGTTTCTTAACTTTTGAATAAGAGAATGTTGCCCTAAATGAATGGAACAAAACCAATGCATTTAGAGAAGATACCAGCCGTCCTGAAGGCAGACCTTAATACAACACTTGGATTCATGACGAGTCACATTAAGGAGAGTTGGAGTTTTTTTTCATTCGAATTCGATTATAAACGTCGGATGAGATTGTTATCAATCTTGTTCTCAAATATGAACGTCATGAAATGTGATCACGATAATATCAATCTGTACTTTTCATTAATGGCAAACACAAACTGAGATGAGAGACGGATCGCGATCGTGGCTTGCGTTCAATTATTTCCATCACACGACATCGATGTTGAAAAAATCCTTAATAATATCTTGTATCATGCCAGATTCATATAAGTATTCCGAAACACCTAGTTATTTCAATACCAGATGTTTTCTTGCAACACTTTTTGTGGTTCGTCGCTTTCTAAAACCTCGAGTATTTGCTGGCAATTCATCGGTCTTTCATTTGCTGAGTGACTGGTGCACCAGTCAAACAACTTCTTTACCAGGGAATGCTGTTCAACTGCATCTCTACAATAATGAAAAGGTGGCAAAGAGGAACTTAATATTTGGAATTCTGTTGTGAGGTTGTACGGCCTTTGTTTGGTATATATAAAACCAAGTAACACTCCTAATGAATAAATATCACTGCTTTTTGTGTAAACCATCTCTCCACCATTTCTGAAACACTCTTTAACCTCAGGAGCTGCGTACATTAACATTTTGGCTGCAGCACCACCTACGGATGAATAAAAACCTGACATGTGTTGTTTTGTTTCCCTCATCCGTGCTTTTGCGAATCCAAAGTCAGCTATTACAACGCTTGCAATCATAGCATCCATGTCATTGTTGTCTGTGTTTGGTTGGCCAATAAGAAAATTCGTATCTTTGATATTGTGGTGAATAATTCCGTTCGCTCCATAGTTGTGCAAAGCTTCTATACACTTTACACATCTTTTAAACAAGATTAACGATTGATGCAAGCTTAAACAATTCTGAAGTAAGAAAGAATGTAAATCCATGCAATATCGAGTCATTCCTAATCCAATTCGTCGATCGCTTCCAATGGTTATACACTTTACGTTCACACAATAGGGACTGTTTTTCAACTTTGACAGTATCAACAATTCCTCCAAGTGTTCGTCTTGTTGTTCTTCAGATTGGGATTCACTACTCTCCAAACTACTTGATGCTAGAGGATCCAAATAAATGGACAAAAATTTAATAGCCACAGTTTCAATTTTGGAGTTGTGGCTGATACTGGCTGTCAATACTCTACCCGAGTTGCCACTACCAATTGCTTCCATTGTATCAATAATTGAAGCAATTGGAAAACCAGCCACTTCACCGATTGGTTTTTGTAGTTTGCTCTTGATCATCAAAGCAAAAGAAAGCGATCCCCAAGTACGGTTAAACAATCCCAAACTATCTTCATCAATAACATTGCTCAAACTAAGTAACTGAGGAACTGACAAGTAGACTGAGTGTTGTTCAATTTGCTTCATCAACCCAACACATTGATTGAAATTCGTTTCCTCCGAAAGTTTTTGAATGAAACGGTCCAAATCAGAACCACAGGTGGTTTTTAGCTCGTTGTTTGTCGGCATTTTTTAAGGATGGGAGGCGTTGGCCTGAAAAGAATGAAGACAAAGACCACCGTATGTCCTTAATTAGAATCCCGACTGGTTTAGGTGTATTGTCTCAAAAAATGTTTTTTGGATGGAACACGCTGGCCATCTTCATCAAAAAGTTTCATTCCACAACATCGGTTCCAGGGATGAAATTCGGCACGTACCTTGCATTGACAAGACTTGGCGAGAAATCCAAATAAGAGATGGTTAGCCCTTCGTTGGCAAATGCCACCAACAATTACTTGGATGAAAAAGTAGACTAAGGAAATTCGGCACCTTATTAGAAACAGCCGTTCACAAAGCCAATACTATTGAGAATTAGTTAATAGATATAGAGAGACCAAATCCCTAATCGCACTTCAAGCTGCTTGTGCGCAGTGGTAAGGAAATGTCAAGTGTTTGATTTGCTCTACATTGGTTAACACTTTCCATGAATGCATTTTCAGTAACAGTGATCATTAGTAACGTACATACGTAATGGAATCCACTTCGTACGAACATCCCTCAATGTCCAAAAACCACAACGAAAGAAAAATAATCACACACATGACTGCACATCTTCACCCAAAAGTTGTCATCAACTCGAGCGATCGATGGTTCTTGTTTCTCTTTGGTTGGACTTTGCTTGTCGGGTCGTTTTTACATGTCTTGACTGCAACTGGAATTTGGCCTGAAAAAGCTCCCTATTGGATTGGAGTATATTTTGACAGTTTGATATTGTTTGATTTCTTTGGAGGAGTTGGTTTGTTAGTAGGCCTATCCAAACGAACACGTCAAAGTATTCAGTTCAATTGGTGGCCGTTACGGTATACCTTATATTTATGTGTATGGATTTGTGCATCCAATGCTGTGGCCAGTGGTTATATGATCTACCTGGATGTGTTGGAGAATTATGGAAGTGGATTTTCAGTCGAATTGAGAATTGTAGATCTTGTGATTGTTGTCATTGGGCTTGTGCGGAGTGTGAAAATTCTTCGTCAGAATCATGATGGATTTTGATCTATTTATTATAAGGATATACAACACAAGGTAATTTTTAGACGAATTGGTTTGTGCACGCTTGACGGTATGAGTATCCATCGAAATTACCTTCTGACAGCACAAATCCCTTTATTTATAAAGGTATAGAATGGTATAGAGGGGTGAAAAAGGTTGAAATGGAGGAGATGACGACATTGTTGGCATCGATCAATATCCTCTGCTCCTGGGAGAACAAGAATCCATGAGAAGAGGCAACCCTTAATAAGAATTGTCATGGACAAGGTGAGTAAAAGACAACTAAAGAACAGTTTCAGGTTTTAACAAGAGCTTACCGTGGTTCAAGGTCGGTTGAAGTGAATCAAGACCTGAGGTGCTGGATCAGAGGTTGGCTTTTACGCAACTGATTCCTGGAGAATCCGACATAGAGTCCACTGATCCAAAAGGAACCTGAAGAAGAATATGTCTTCTATCAGGGTTTAAACAAAGTGACGCCTACGGGCCTGATTAAGGTAACATAGTGTCGAATACTTTTCGTGAAATGCTTACCGATTGACAATTTAATTTTTTCGTTACGAATAATTTAACTTTCTTCAAGATTAAGCATGACTTGTTGAGATGGAAGGAATTGTCTGGCATGTTATGTTGTGGAATTCGCTAACTTGATTGTTACACCAACAAAAAATGGTCAACAACAGCCACATCAAACGCATCACCAACATCAACAAATACATTCAGTACACAATCACTTCAAAATCTTGAGCATCATTCAGCTATGATATATGCAACGTTCTCACAACTAAACGCTACTCAAGTTCTTTCAATCCCAAAATCCGATCTATTAAAATTTCCTCATTGCATCTTTTTGTTTCACATCGCATAAATGGTTAGACATCATTTACAGATTCCGTTACCTTTTTTTGCATGAAAATCAAACGTAAACAAACAATGTCATTGCCATTTTGATCTGGGAATACCCTAAAAACAGCATGACAATGTGTCAATCACTTCGAAAAAACATCTCTCACTCCAACAACACACACATGACAGCAGACTCAGAAACACCTCTTGCTCATCCTCCACAAACTGCTGATGAAGAGATTGTCAAAGAGGACCAGCACATTGTATTGTCCCAACCATTATCCTCACTCACTTTAGAAACATACAAAGATCAATACATTCAAATCATCTCAGAAGCAGCCTCCTCTCTCTTTGAACAATTCAAGGACACCATCCTCCGAGTTGTAGGAACCGTTCCCAAACAAAAAACCAAATTCAAATTTTGGTATGGCAACTATGGAGGTCCTTTCACTTGGACAGATAAAGGTGATCCATTGGATGATTTAGATTTGGCATGTCTACTGCACGATAAATTACTTCCATTGAATGCTTTGCGGCAATTAACAAAATTAATGAGGCAGTTTTATGGAGATGAAATGAGTAAACAAGCTCAGGCCTACACCCGAAAGATTGAGGGAAAAGCATTTGGAATTATTGAACCTACATATATGAAACTCTTTGGAAAGATGTAGGAACGTTTGTTGTAAACGCACGTGATACCTTCAACGAGCGCTATGATTCTCAAAATTATAAGAGATCCGAGAGAAAAACCGATCGTTGTTTGAGGTTGTTTCTTTTTCAAGGTTTGAATCAATGTTTGAATGGAAGGTTCATCAACGATGCCAATCGCGAGTTCAACCTCAATTGAGAATTTTATCATTGAAAGTCGATGGATCTAGTGGTCATTGAGGTTGAACAGTTTAGCCTTAAGTGACGCCTTTCTAGCCCATTAATGATTGGTGATTTGGAGAGATGTCGTATTGTTACTAAATAATCACTAGATAATCGTTCCTCCGCCGCTTCAAGATTTCGCTTTTTGAATTTATTTGTTATTCATTTATCACTGTTGAATAGAAGAAGCTCATTCTTTTCAAATAATACCAGTAACACGCTCTTCTTGATCCAAAAAGAACGAACCTGCGACTGTTGGTGAGGACTGCAGCCTGTTTCACCAAGGCCTTGATCACCCTCTTCCCATGATAAATCACGGCCGTTTCTTCCAATTTTCAAAAAAAAAAATCAGGAACTGTCGCCATTGGTCCACAACAGTGTCGTGTACCTCTCTCTCAAGTAGTAACCAGCACCGCATTGTGAGAACTTCGTTGATTCTCGGTGAAGAACACTCTGCGCAGATAGTTGACCATTATCATTGATAACAAGCAGATACAAAGTCAAAATTGACATTGTCATCTCATTATTGTTATCATCATCGTCATTGTTTTCAACCTTCTCTCTCGATAGGTACCAATTCTATCACGAGCGCTTGAGAAATCACAACGTCTTCCTTCATACGTGTTGGTTGGTTCCTGTCATTCAAAATCAACCAACAACACAAACAATTACTCGAGATCATCTCCTTGTTGTCATCCCATTACCATAAGACATTGTTGGTTCTTTCTAAAAACTACTCCGATTATTATTTTGACAACAACCACAAACACACTTGACACGAGCTCTTTACAAAGAAAGGTTGCTCCCACTTGGACTTTCAGAGAACATGAACACAACTACAACAACAACCAACTCACCTTTGGTTGTAAACTCGGGTAAAGTTGGCAATAACAACTCTTCGTCTACGACCACCACGAGCACAGCCTCTCCTTCCATGTTGTCCACCAATTCATCCTCTTCATCGGTTCATTCCACCACGAACAATAATAGCAACAACAACAACACAGTCAATCCATTGTTTCTTCAACAGCAACGATTGCTTTTACAACAACAGTTCATGATACAACAACACAACAATAACATGCAACAAGCACCACAGCAACAACAACGAAATAGTCCAACCGCTCTACTCGGTCATAGCACTTCTCTTGATTTAAGCAATGTAACGAATGGCAATGGTGGTACCAACCCTTCTCAATTCACTCCTCGTATTTCATCCCTCTTGCAAGAAACCAAACAAACGTTGCACATTTCAGATCTTGAATTTGGACCCATTCTCTCCATTCTCAATCAGAACATGGTTAAAACAACCAATGCCTTACAAAATTGTGATCATACAGAATTGTATAATTTAGGTGTTCCTCTCATGTTTGCCAAAGACCTCATGAGAAGATTTCAACAATTTCAGTTGATGAGTCATGGAGCCGCGAGTGCTCATTCCAATCCATCTGCCCATGCAACAGTACCACCATACGGAGTTGTAGCTACACAATCCTCTCAAACCAATGGATTGGATTCTTCGCTCAATACTACCATGAATCATCATCATGCAAACACACTTCCACTCCACCACCAATTGACCACAACAACATCAACAACTAACAATCCTCCTAGTTTTGGAGAGTTGGATCAACAACAACTGAATCAAGTCTTGAACTTGATGATGGCAGCTCAACAACACTCCTCTCTTCTTCAGCAGCAGCAGAATCAGCTCTACCTCAATCCAAATAACATTTCTCCGGTGAGTCAAAGCAGTAATAATAATAATAACAACAACAACTCGAATCCATCAACAATGCAACAAGGAATAACGAATTCAATGAGCCAACAACAGCAACTTCAAGCTTCTAGAAGTTCTCCTCTTTCGAATAAGAGTAACGGGGGATGTGGTCCCATGAGCCTTAACAACAACAATAACAACACGACCACTACTACCTCGAACATCAACAGCAACAACAACAACAACTCATTCGTTCCCTCTTCATCATTCACTTTGGAAGATCTCTATCATCACGCCGGTACCAGTTATTCTCAAAGCTTGCACAACGATGATGACTTTCAGAGCCTTTTGCATTCCTCCTCGACAACAATGGGCACTTCTGGCAGCATGATGATTCCACAACCATCCTCAAGCATTCCCAATCATCAAGGCTCAGGATCTGCCAGCACTCTAAACTTCCTTTCGAATAGTTCATGTGCCAGCTCGTATCAAGACTTGTTTGGCTCCTCAGCGAATAGTCTTTCGAGTAATCACCATAACAGCATGCTTGTGGATACACAGGACGGTCGTGCTGTAACCACAACCTCATCGTTGAATCATTTGCACAGTAGTGGAACTCCAAACTCGTCATCTGCAGCCATGATGATGAATCATACATCTTCCTCATTGAATTCTCTTTCATCCTCTGCCAATCCTTCCTCATTGAATTCATCGGTTGCAAGTCATCCATTGGCCATCATGCTCTTGGGAAATATGAGAAACTCAACTGCCACGACAACGACAAGTGGTAGTGCTCAGAACAGTCTCTCCTCTTCAGGCATGATGAGCTTGGGTAGTACTGGAAGTGTTCCGAGCAGCTCATTTGGAAGTGAAAGTATGTTGTTACACGGAGGAACCTCCAACCACCATCAACAACAACAACAACAAGTAGGAATTAGTTCTTCACCTCCTCTCATGTTGAATGGACCAACCACTACTCATACCACTCTCACCATGCAACCTCATGCGCCAAATTCCAACAACTCTTCGCAACAACCATGGCCACGTCAAACTCTTGCACACAATAATACCATGCTGTCATCGTTTGAATCTCCAGGCAGTTCCTCCATGTCATCCCATTCTCACAGCAATTCATCTCCTCAGGTCAACATGGTTGGAATGTATGGCACCAGCAATGCGTTGAGTGTCTCTCCAGAAATGGTTGTGGATTTGGTTGGCAGTAATGATTCTTCACATCATGTGGTTCTCCCTCAGAATGGAGGTTCTCTTCTTGCCTCTATGGGTATCATGATGGCCAGTTATCCATGTCGTGTCCATAGCACCGATGATGGGCACAAGCATTGGCCAAAGATTGCTACATGGTATCAACAAGACATGAACTCGGGAGAGATGAAGGATTTATTCACCGTGGTCATTAGTAAGGATAATCCAAAGAAGACCACAACCAATAGTTCGACCAATACAAGTTCGAGAAATTCTTCAACCACCAACGCCACCACCTCTGCAACACCAAACAATAATGCTGCTCTGGGAGAAGGTCAAGACACTCTTCTCGACTTTCGAAACAAGTACATGAGAATTTCACTCTCAGAGTCTGCACGTGAAGGACTCATCAAGATTGAACGTTTGGAGAATGATGATGTTTGGGGTTTCCTCACGACAGATACTGCTTGTGGAGCTGATTTTGTGGATGAGTTGAAACAATTGGGATTCTCTGACAGTTCAGTCACCCTCCCAACGAATACACCTCTTCATAAACAAGCCATGGGCTTTGAGAGACTCTCTCATGAACAAACTGGATCTGTGGTTGTGAAACGTGACGATCAACTGTTATTGATGAAATTCCCCAAGTATGGAACAGAACAAGCCAAAGGTCCTCGAAAGAGAAAACTTCTTTTAGTGAAATATCGATTCAAGCACAATGAAATGAATTATTCCTTCTTCTCCTTATTCAATTTGAGAAAGGAAAATAGCAATGCAGCCATGAATCGTGACGATATTTGGTTGAGTAATTTATTCTTGGAGAGTCCATCTTCATCACCAAACAGTGGTAGTATGAGAACGAGTCACATGAGAGGAGGCTATCCATCCTCCATGTCTGGCTACGATAGTAACAAGAGCTCTCCACAAACCTCAGAGAGTACAAGTCCTCCACGTAGTAGTCACACCACTCTATTGACTGGTAAAACCAAACGAACTTGTGATTGGGAATTGACAGAATCTGATCAATTGCAATTCAGATCCAATTCTCCAAAATCTGGAAGAGGTGGTGTCGATGTGTGCTGTTCCATTGATTTTATTTCATTGAATGATAGAGATCAACATTCTCCTTCTCTCAAGCGAAAATTCGTTGCAGATCCTACCATTGAAGGTGACATGTTCCTCGTTGAGACTTCAAAGACCTATGACTTTTTAGAGAAGGGATTTTTCAAGATTGTTCGTGTGACTCAACATGTGGATCGTGTGGATTTGGTTGTGAGAATGCCACGTCCAATTCGTGAAACAACAACACCTCAGGATGTCTATTTCCATGTCTTGTACAACATGAAAGTCATTCATGCAAATCCAATTTCTCGTCGGCAAGGTAAATTTACCTATGATCCAATCGATAAGGAAGAATTGGCCACTCAATTCAAGGAAAAGATTTTCGAATATTACAAAATGTATGGCTCTCAATTTGAGGAAGAGGTCAAACGATCGGCAGCAGAGAAAATTGCGAACGAAATTCAAAACTTGTCCCTTTCGAACAGTAATGATTTTGGTGATTCAAACAACATGTACAAGAATTACTCCAATTTGTATGTACAATTTACAGAATTGTACTATAGAGATGTCTTTGAGGATGAAGATTTGAATGAGGACGAATTCATTAAGGCAGTCAATACCATTGGACACGAGACACGAGATATCTATGGCTTCTCATTACTCACTCACTACGCGATCAGAGGCATGAAGAAACACTGTAGAGTTCTTTTGGACAAGTTTGGCATGTCCTTCGACACGAAAGATAACTTTGGTATGGCTGTTTTCGAATGGTGCAACTTGGCAAAAAATCCAAACAACATTTTAGAGTTGGCTCTTCAAGAGAAGAAGGCAAAACCTGTCATGAGACATGCCATTGCAACTACCCCTCGATCACAAAATATTAACATTCGACCACAACCAGCTGGCTCCTCCTCATCAACCGGTCATCATCAGCAGCCACCCAACGCCTTGTCAACTTCACCTCCTCAAGGTGGAACTTCACCAAGAAAATCTGGATGGATTTCTGACCTATTCCGAAAGGTATTTTATTCTGCCTCTGCAGGTCAACAAGTCACATTCGATGAAGAATTGACAGAAGATCGCGACAATACTCCAATTGATGTAAATAGCACGGCCTATGACGAAAGATTACTTTCATTCGATGAGAGACAGGCCTCTCAATTCTTCTTGGATAAGTTACGAAAGTTGGATGAGAAGATTTCAAACAAGACAGGAAATTCAACACTCAAGAGTCAAATGTGGAAATCTTTATACATTGATGAAAACAAGACCATTGAGGCACAAAACGCAATTTGCAAAGATAGATTCATGTATAGACACTTTGGTAAGGCCATGGAGAATATCAGTGTAAAACACAAGGACGAAAAGAAACCTTCTCTCATGACAGTCAAGGTCATTATTTCAGACACGACAAGTGATTTCAGAAATTCCATCTTTGATCTTTTCAGATCCAACGAGAAGGATAATTTGTTTGGAACTTTCCACACGGGTCTATTAATTGGTCCTTGGAGATTTGATTTCTATGACCATTCCATTGTGAGAGTGAGAGGAGACTATCGAAACTTTAGAAACGAGTATGCTGTCTCTGTCATTGATTTTGGAAGCTATCACAAAATTGATCAAATTAAGAATGCACTTGATACCATTGCTTCTGTTTGCATTGAATACAATGGAACCAAGACCTACGATGCTGTCAAATGCAATTGTCAACACTTTGTGGTGGATGTTTTACGTCGTCTCAATTTATGGCAAGAGAAATTACCACAAGCTCTTACACCTTATGAAAGATATATGGAAGATTTGAGAAAAGGCATTGGTGAAAGAAGATTCTATTTATCAAAGGCAATGCTCGCCAAAAAGAAGGAATTTCCAGAATCTAAATATTGGGATCGTGAATATGTCACTTTCAATTCGAGAAAGGAATTGAATGAATTCTGTCATTGGCTCGACAGTATCAAGTACTTTGAATCTGACGATGCATCTGTGGACATCCGACTTTTAAAGTCCTTTGATAGATCGTTCTGTTTGAGAAATATGAATAGTGAAGAGGAACAAACAGAGGAAGATAAGGATACGGTGTGGTTCTTCTCTGAGGATGGAACTTATTTAGCCAACTCGATGAGTAAGCTTGTATTTAACTTACCTGGTTTGACATTCCCACCTCCATGTCGAGTGTAAAATCAATCACAACAATAATTTAATACATTTTTAACAATAATTCTTTCAATAAGTATATGTATGCAAAGAAGAGATGAGATACTCGGTGAGTTACACCATCTTCCTTAATAACAATTCAAGAATTGAAATTTCATTAAAAAAAATGAAACAAACGAGGCTTTCCTTTCCCACCCTTGCAAAAAAGCCTCATCATCATGATGGGAATGATGATAATAAAACAATGACCAACGGAAAGAAGAAGGGAAAGAAGAGAAAACAAACGAGTTTGGAATCGTTGAATGAAGAGAATTTAAAGGAGAACTCGGAGGAATCATTGGTTCATGAAAGCACTCGAGAATTAATATTGGATAGAGTTAAGAAAATTAAAAAAACAACAACGAGCTCCTCCGAGTCAAATGATACGAGTGGCCATTCCGATAATGATGGTCGAAATACTGAGCGAAAACAATTGGACACAAGCAACCATGAAACCCAAAATGTTGATAAAAGACTACGGCAGGCTACACAAGATTCCCAAGAGGATTACGAAATTATTTTAAATCACGGATTTGTTTTAAATTCGGAAGATATAGATTCTGCAGAGAAGGAAACATCGTTTGTACCTATGGAATGTTTATTACTGGATGAAGGAGATGAGGCCCCTGATTTTAATGCAGTGGATGCAATTTCCAATGAAGCTATTCAACTCTCTCAACTTTTTTCAACAGATGACTTTGTGGTGTTGTACTTTTTCAAAAAAAGCAAAAAGTCTAAAGAACAATCAAATTTATCAAAGGACTTCTCTAAACATTTGAGGAAATTTTCAAAGGAGAGGAATGTAAAGGTGATTGGTATTTGTGCACCACAACATTTACCGCAAGAAAAATCATACAAACAAACTATAATTTCGGACACAGACTTATCTATTTGCAAGTCTTACAGATGCATTGACTCCAAGTTCAAAAAGCCACAACTGGTCACCTATATCATTGCAAAGCATGGAAGTGACAATCCCAAGCTGAAAATTGTGAAAATTTTTCACAAAACCTCCTCTAATACTCTCATTACAGACATTTTGACATTTATTGACAATTTCTCAATGAATGAATTTGAAGAACAATCCTCCAAATTCAATTATCAGCTCACACATTCCCCCATTATGAATTCAATTCACGACGCAAGCAGCAAATTACTGGCAAGTATCACTGGTGAAACCATCCATGACAACATTGTAGAATTCATTTCTGAAGGAGAGGCTTTTCAAACCTTACACGATAACTGTTTTGAACTAATTCACTATCTCAAAGATCTCGAGCCAAAAACAAGAAAAGTATGGGAAATTACAATTCTTTACTTGAAAAAGATGGTCGTGTTATGCCAGAAAATACACAAGGACTATCATGATCAAGTTCATTCCTATTTTCACTCGACCAATTTTTGGACAACATTTTGGGATGAAGTTTTTAAAATATTTTCAGAATTAAGGAGCGATTCTCATTTAACTTCACTCCAACGACATGAACTCATTCACAAAATCATCTCATTAGAAAAGGATGGAAATTTGGGTTCACGTCTCGGAAAGGGTAGAAATATTTTTGAAAAGAAAGAGAAAAAGAGATATTTACAAATTGTTTATGAAAATTTTAAACAAAGACCCACACGAGAACATTTCATTGAAATTGAACGAAACTTTTTTCATCATTGTACAGATAAAAAAGAAGAAATGATTGAGAAAATGATTGATTTTTGGATTACTAATTTGGACCAACACGCTCGTGATGTCCTTTTCGTGTCACTGGGTACGGAGGATCATTCAAAAATTTATCAAATTCTGAAATTATTGGAATCACATGTCGAGGATACTCCTGAAGAGTTACAAGCTGCCAAAATTATTGTATCGAGTTATCCGAGAGAAATTCAAAAATTGTGCATGATAAGAATGAAGACATTATGTTGTAAAATGTTGAACTGTCTGCAAGCGAGGATTAGGTATTTACTGAGCTCGAGTAAGGAAGATGCTCCATTTTTGGAAATGCTTACAGGTCAAAAAACTATTTTGAATGATGAGATGCAACAACGAGCGTTTGTGCAACGACTAGATCTTCGATACGAGGAAGAGTTGCAATATAAGGAACTGAAACGTAAGCATGAGCATGTGGAAATACCATACTATGTTTATCCTGCATTTCCCAAAGCATTTCAAGAGTGGACACTAATACTGAGAGAAGCCATACAGGGCGTTATTTCTGCAAATGAAGACTCGACCAAAGACAAGAGCTCTTTGACAGCTGAATTAAGGTCTCAAATCTCAGGTTTTCTTTCAAAGGCAATTCAAACGATTGGAGAAGAACAGTTTTGTACAGTTTGGGAACTATTGAACCAATTACAAACAAGTCGTGCCATTCAAAATGATGGCATGGGTTACGAATTCCAAGATCAAAATGGCTCGTGTATGGTGACCATTTTGCTTTCAATGAAAAATTCAAAGTGATTTAGAGAGCAACAACTAACTCACAGGCTACAAAAATTATTAAAATAATAATTATTAAATATTCTAGGCATTGTTATTATTAATAATGTGATTATGAATACATATTTACATTTTTCGTTGTCAAGTTTTTTATGTACATGCTTGCATTGACAACTTCTCTACTAATTTGCCTTTTCGAATTTAATTTCCTTCTCCAAAACTTGAGATAATTCCTTTTGTAATCTCACCCAAAATTTAGGATGGCCCTCTCTCGTACAAATCCAGTCATCAGCCACATGATCGTATTTGAAATGCCAAGGTCCACTCAAGGCACTTGATAGCCACAATTCTCTCGCAGGTGTTTGTCTTGAAATGACAAAAACCAAAGGACCGTTGGACTTGCTCGTACTAATTTTAATATTCACTACACCATCATGTCCACCCTCAACTTCCATATCAATTCCCTTCTCTTCTAAATATTCAGTTTCATTTTCATAGAATTCATCCAAAACTTGAGTGATTTGATCTACGGACCGATTGATGGCTTGTAAATATTGAGTTTGAGTAAATGGAAAATCTCCGAGTGAAGTGTGGTCCATCACTCCAGCTTTTTGTGTGGATGACGACGAGGAACGATCAAGAAATGATAAATGAAAATTCCGATGATTGGAATCATGACCTGAAAATTGTTTCATTCCTTCTTTCCAACGACCCAACACCAATGCTAATGATGAAAATTTACAAACTTGATGATGAGCCTTGTATCTCAGAAGCAGACTCAAAGGCTGAACAGCACTGGAAAGCCTTGCTTGTGGAAGCATTTTTTCGGTGTTCGGACGAATTGTTGTATTGTAAAAAAAATATTCCTTAATGGTCTCAACTCAAAAATCCAAAATCGTACAATTTTCAAAATTTACTAAACTTGTTCTTGAGAGGTCTGAGCATGATCTTTGTAAAATGTGAGTAATTGTTTGTATTCGCTCAATAATTTAGAAATTTCAGAATGTTTCAAATCATCAAGTTTTGTGTGTTCAAAGGTTCCCACTTGGGACAACTCACGATTCGATTTGTTGTTCAATATGTTTCCACCACTAATAAATGACTTGTGTGATTTCATGAATATCATTGGACTAGTATTCACTTCATCGGCCTCCATGATGGTTTCATCAACTTGTGTGATCTTGTTATTCTTGTAAAAATGAATCATGTCCACTTCTTCATTGGAATTTCCCTCAAATAACTCACAAGTGCTGGATGCTGTGAAAGAATCGATCGAGTTGGTATTTGTGTGTGGTTGTTGATCAGAAAATTGAGACATCATACTCGTGTTTCCTTCTCGAGAATGTACTGAAGAAATGCTGGGCTTGGAAGACATTCGTTTCTTGGAGTGAAGTATTTGTTGTGAAGAATTTGCTGTGTTGGTCGTGGTCGGTGTCATTAAGGCCTCCTCCACATTAAAATCCAATAAAAATTGTACGGCGGTCTCAAATTGATTAAACCAATATTCGTGTTCGGGAGGAATGCCACTTAATACTTGTGGCTGCTTTGAAGCTTCCAAAAAAACTCCACAAAATCTCTTGCAATAAATTAAATGAGAGTATAAATATGGAGTGTTGGAACGAACAATGTTGTACACGAGCAGGATTAATAAATCATCGATATTGTATGAATTTCCTGATATTTTCATAGTTTCAATAAGAATGGAACAGCAGTGGACAATGACTTTCACTTTTTCCTCGGGCATGATAAATGTATCTAATTTTCGTAATTCCAATTGTGCCATTTTGCTGTCACACACTTTTGAATATTTTTGTGAAATTCCAAAGTCAAGCGGCTCCACGTCGAAGAGGAGAGAAATTTTTGTACCCAGCAAGTTATCTTCCTTATTGAATAATTGACGTTGTGAGGGATTGGTGTTGTCAAAAATTCTGGGAACCATTTGTCGATAAATCTTGGACATGATTGTTTTTTGTAAGAATTTTTCAATACGCTCCAATTGATGTTCTGGAACTTTGACTTCTTTCAACATGTTAAAAATTTCAGCTCTTTTGGCAGAAAATTGGTTCTTGATGAGTTTTTTCTGATCTTCTAAAAAGGCAGATTTCAAAAAATCTTTCACAAACTGTTTAAAATCAATTTCATTGATAAGCTCGCCAACTGAAATATTGTCAAAAATGTCATCGGCTGTTTTGCGCTCCTTTTCCAATTCGTTGACTTGAAGCTCGACGCTGTGGAGTATACGTAATAGTTTCTTGTGTTTGGTAATCATGAGTTGAATATTTTCGTCCCACAGCTCTGCATCCTTCATCACATTGTTAATGAGGTCGTCCATTGTTTGATTTTCTGAGGATGTCTTTAATTCCTGAACAAGCTCTTGAATATAACAACTAATGACACACCTTTCAATAGAACCATCATTTCTTTCCTGAGAGTCCATCAATTTCAATAGTTGCAAAAATGTGTGCATGTCATCTTCACCCAAGTATTTAAGCTCAGAGCAAATTCTCTCAATCGAGTCCACAGAGAGTAATACATGTTTCAACAATTGTGAAGTGCGTTGTGTAGCATTGTTCTTGCTTTCATTATTACTGGAAACGAGAGCATCAATATTTTTCATAATTTCATCCAAATTCAAACTCTTATGATTCATGATAATGAATTTTTCATCACGATAATTCTTCCTATTCCACGATTGAATTTCTTGAAGATTCTCAAGGATGGCCTTGGGAACATCTTCACATGTTTGGAAAAACGTTGATTCCATGCATAAATGAAATATCAATTCTACATCCTTTGTGGAAATGCATATGGGAGACAATATTTGATACTTTTTCAATTCCTCAATCGAGGAAGAGGTTACCACAGATTTTCTGACATGATTATTGATGTAAATTTTCAAGTTTCCAACCAGATCATTTCTCTCATAGAACCAATCGTTTAACATGTTTTCGAACATTGAATTGATTTTGAGCGTGTGGCCTTTGATAAAGTCATTCAAATAAAAGAAGGGTGATGTCCTATCGAAGGTTTTTTCCATGGAGGTGTAGTGCAGAACTTGGATGACAGATTTCAGTTTGTTCTGTAACTTGCTTCCAACTGGAACATCGGTCAATTCAAAACATTCTGGCCTAGAAATGGCTGGTAACAAAAACCAGCCAAAGAGAAGTCGTTTTAGCATTTGAATTTTCTGATTTTGAGTGACTAGAGCTCCATTTCTTTTTGAAAAAGCCTTGAGCAAGTACTTGAAAAGCAATAATATTGGGGGTGGCAACGTTGAAATTTTCTCATAGAGACAATGCAGAATTCTTGTACATATATTATACAAATTCGGTAGTAAAAGGGAGTTTTACTGAGGTTTGTTGTAATCAATAAAAGTGGTTGGTTGACTAATTTTTTGAATTTTCACTTTCAAAAAATTTACATTACTTGTGATATGGAACAATTATTATCAATTACTTCGAGAAAGGTGATAGAATCACTTTCTCTCAAAGAATTGAAAAGTATCTACAGCAAACTCAAGAAGGCTTTCCCAGCAGGGAAGAAGAATGATGTTGTTAATGATTTAATATCTTGCTACCCCTTTGACCAGTCCAACGAAATTACAAGTAAGAAAGAATTACTCAGAAGAATCAAGGATTTGAGAGTAGTTCCGGAACGGACAGAAGAGGAAGAGGTAGAAGAGGAAGTAGAGGAAGAAGAGGTCTCAAGTGAAGTGCTGTCAAAAAGGATTAGAGAATTAGAAGAAGAGTTAGACTTTATGCGTGATGAGGTTAAGAAAGCAAAGTCATCGGCCGAACGAGACATCAACCAAATCATGGTTGATTTGACTCAACAAGGCGCGTTTTCACAAAGGGATGTCTGTGATGACCAGCTACCAGCGGCCCTAGCTAATGGTCAACGAAATAGGGTTCTCGAGCTACTCAAGAGTGGGAAGAGTATTGATTTGAATCTATTTCAAATAGATTGTATGGCCGAATCTCTTGCCAACGAACGGGTGTCTACTGTTTTTGACCGTAACTCAGTCAGGAAGGAAGAAGTGGAGGAGTTTAGTTCTCTTGGAGCTATTTACAAGATTCTGTTGAAGAAACAGCTCAAGAATAAGGATGAAGATGAAGAGTTGCAACGGGCTATTGACTCAGTCGAGAATCGTGCATTTGTTCTCCTTGCGAGACAGAAGCACCAGCAAGCGGCAGAGATAATTAGTTCCTCTACACTCAACCCGTTGTTGAGAGAAAAAGCGGACCTGTTCTCTTGGGCGCTGAAAGCAGTGGGTAAGAGCGACAAAGATGCAAAGGTGTTGAAACAACAATTGAAAATCCCTACTCCAGAGAAAGATGTTAGCAATATAGTATGTCTATATTGTAAGAAACCAGGTCACACTAAAGAAACGTGTCGCAAAAAGATGAGGGATGATGAGAAAGCCAATAAACAACGAGGCCCTCACAGTTCTCTCTACGAAATCCTTCAGTTTTTTCCAAGATACTCACATGGAAGAAATTGCCTTCAGGAAGAAGGCTATTCATTCGATTTCCAACAAGTGGAGACAATGGGAAATGATGGGTGCCAAAAAAGAGATTGTGGGTCTTTTGAAAGATGGGGTTCCAATTATGGTCAGCAAGTATTTCATCCCTTACTATGGAAGAGTAGATATATCCCTTTGGTCGAAGGAAGAAAGAGAATTTCTAACGGAAGAGATATGTATGATGTTATCTATTGGTGCATTGGAATTCTTCCAAGGAACTCCGAAGGTGGTGGCCAAGTATCGATTGGTACCGAAGAAAGGAAAGAAGAAATTCAGATTAATTGTGGATCTTCGTCCCCTAAACAAGTATTGTTTGGAGATCCCAAAGTTCAAGTACAAAACTCTGAGCAAGTGTTTGGATCACATTCGCAGTGGTGGGAAAAAGTTTTGTGCTACGTTCGATTTATTATCAGGATATCACCAAGTGAAGGTGCGAGAAGAAGATCGAGACAAGATTGTGATCGAATTTATGGGTCATCTTCTTTGCTTCACAGTATTGACATTTGGATGGAATGGAAGCCCATTCTTTTTCACTCAGATAGTAGACGAAGGTGTTCGATTGTTAACAATAGAAGGCTATACATTGTCCAATTATTTGGACGATTTTATGGCTGTGTTATGTATCTCTTACTTAGATTCCTACAACAAGCTTGTTCGATTAAGCTTAAGGCTGGATTTTTATGGATTTGTAAGAGAACCTTCAAAAGGTTGTTTCAAACCTTCCTTAGTCTTTTTATTATTAGGAGCATTGGTAGATCTGAATTGCATGACTCTCTCTATTCCCGAAGAGGGTGTGGAGAAAATAGTTGCTCGATGCAAAAACCTCCTATCAAAAATGCACAGAGAGGAGGCCTTTTCCGCCCGAGACCTTGCCAAGTTGGCTGGCTCTGTTATGTCATATGTACACTGTTTTCAACCAGCCTTAATTGCTCTCAATCCCATTTATTCAAGAATTTTCAAGATGGTAGAGGATGGATGGGATACGCTACACCGTGTGAAAGACCACCAGTTATCGAACGCATTACAATGGATTCTTTGCAACATTCACCATTGGAACGGTCGATTATTTTTGTTTCCGTCATTGATCCACGAACTTTTTTCGGACGCCTCTTTATCCGGCTTTGGTGCTACAATGCCATTATTGAATTTTACCTTACACGGCTCTTGGTCTACTTATGGCATGGATCATATGCATATCAATGTTTTGGAAGCAAAAGCCATTTTTATTGCCATGGAAAAAGTCGCTCCCCTTATTCAGGGAAAGTGTTTGAGAATTTTTTCAGACTCTCAAGTGATAGTGTTTTCTTTGCGAAAAGGTCGTTCCAAAAATTCCTTAATTCAAAGGATTGTGGAAGGTATTTGGAGAATAGTATTCCAATACGACATTCAATTAGTTGCTGTGGAATGGTTACCGTCGTCCCAAAATTCGATCGCCGATCAATTGAGCAGGTTGAAAACCACAGAAGAGATGGATTTCGGAGATTGGGAAGTAACCCCAGAGGCATTCGAAAGAGTTCAACATCAATTGCAGGTGAAAGTTCAGTTCGACCGTTTCGCCAGCAATTACAACTTCAAGGTTCCTCAATACATGGTGTGGAAGAGGACCAAGAGAGAACAGCCCGCAGATGCATTCAGTTGCTATTGGCCCAAGGAAGAGCTAAATTGGTGCTGCGTGCCGTTCAGCATTATCCAGAAGGTGCTAGAGCATTGCAAACTTTGCCAATCTCAAATGATACTCGTTCACCCAGTATGGAAGGCAAAACCCTGGTGGCCACTACTGCTGGAAGGCAAGGTTCGGTCAGTACCAATGTCTGGAATAGATTTCAGACCCTCTCGGTCAGGGAAATGCGAACCGCAAAAGAAAAGCTCTTGGCTATTAGAGGCGACCCTAATCGACTTTCGGATGACCAACTAACATCAGTTGGTGGACTAATTGAAAAGGCCGGTGCGGGTCGTGAGTCCACAAACACTACGTATGACAGTTATTGGAATCGATTTGTTAGATGGTGCGATGAGAGAAATATTGCAATACCACCCACAGAGATGGATGTTTACAATTTTCTGGTGTGTCTTTTTCTTAAATGTAGGTCCGGAAAAAATTGTAAACTGGCAATGTTTGCTATTAAGAAGCGATGTAATCAGTTCAAATGGATTGACGTGGTGGGTGAACATATTTCATCTCTAGTTGATTGCATGATCAACATGGCACCAGTTTCATACGAGATTGAACGAAACGAGTGGCGTATTATGTACATTGATATGTGGATTCTCGAAGGGTGTAACTTTGTCGACAGGAGAACTTATGTTTTTTATACGACCCTTATGATCATCGGCATCAGGTCCATGCTACGAGGATCTGAGTTGGGTAGTATTTTAACCTCCAACGTGGTAGAAATTAACAAGAACAACATTAACGGAATCAGAATTGTTGTGGAAAAAGTGAAGAATGATTTTAAACGAAGCAAGAAAGGAAGAGTCATCGAAATTGAGGCAACGAACTCCAGGAGATGTCCTGTCGTCTGGCTTAGGTTATGGAAAGTGTGTAACCCTCAAAAGTATTTGTTTGGTGATGACCTTCCCTTATCCACGGCTAAAATTTCGGACATTCTTAGATTTGTAGCAACCAGCCTTAAGATTTCGGGTTCTTTTTCTAGTCATTCCTTAAGAATTGGAGGAGCGTCAGAGGCAGCATTTGCTGGTTTCTCTCACACAGCAATCCAAGCTCTAGGTGATTGGTCCTCCAATGCGATAGATGCCTATTTCAGAGCTGGATTCGCATCTGACAAGAATGTATCTCGCCAGATGGGTTTTTAGCGGTATCTATCCGTTTTACCAACCATCTTTCTGTTGATTTACAACAAATTCGGTAGTAAAAGGGAGTTTTACTGAGGTTTGTTGTAATCAATAAAAGTGGTTGGTTGACTAATTTTTTGAATTTTCACTTTCAAAAAATTTACATTACTTGTGATATGGAACAATTATTATCAATTACTTCGAGAAAGGTGATAGAATCACTTTCTCTCAAAGAATTGAAAAGTACCCACCCTCCTCCCAATCCACCTCTGAAATAAACAAACATAGTTGTGGCTTTCCACAACTCCCTCACCTTTGGGTGGGATGCCTCATGTCTCAACTTGGGATGCCTTATTGCATTGCAATAGGATGCCTCACTTTAGTGGGATGCTCTTTGAACTGATTTCAGTCCAAAGGATGCCTTGGCCATTTGAGCTGGGATGCCTCAATACATTGGGATGCCTTATGATTTTAATCATGGGATGCCTTATTGCATCGCAATAGGATGCCTCACTTTAGTGGGATGCTCTTTGAACTGATTTCAGTCCAAAGGATGCCTCATGGTTTACCATGGGATGTTTAATCAGCGCACGCTTAATAATGTCATCCTGTATGAGACTGATGCATATGTTTGTTGCATCTATTTGTGTTGTACTCTTGCTGAATTACAGGATAGAAAAGGTAATGTAAATCTTATTTATTCAACTATTAGTCATGCGCACGTACACGCGGCGAAGAATAAATAATAATCCGTTTTACCAACCATCTTTCTGTTGATTTACAACAAATTCGCATCAACTGGAGATGTAATATTTCATCATCATTTAAAATTCATTGAAGGCAGAGCGGTAGTAGTTTTCGAATCAACTGGTCGATTTAGTACTTACTCATAGATTGTGTAATTAGCTGTTGTTTCATCTGTTGCTGTGTATTAAAGACACTACTGGTGACACAGTCAGGTGAAACTGGAGACACATCATTGGTGTTCACACTGCAGGTATTTTGAAAGAACAATATGGGAGGTTTAGAAGGTTTGTTGGATTCTGATTTTTCTTGTGATGTTGGCTGAGAGGAGACAGGTGAAATGTCGAGAGGAACTTCAAGATCATCGTTTGAAAACAAATCAAACAATGGCTCTGTCATGATACTCTTGATAAAATGTTTGCCTTTCCTCCGTAAATAGAGAAACACAAGTCTGTACAGAAATATGTTTTCAAAAACTTCAAAAGGATTTTCCGAAGAACAACTCTCAAATACAATGTCAAATGTGGTCTATTCATTCAGAAATTGGAACCCCAAAAGATACACATGTGCACAATTCGATTAATACTGGGCCGTCCTTAATACATACCTTAATGAATTTTAGAATACACTTTGTCTCCAATGGATTTCCAGCATTTCCATACAACGAATAAATCATTATAAAAGCAAGTCGATCACAAGATTCAAAGTCCTCAGTAGTGGACGAGGATCCACTTGGTGACAATGTCTCGGTTGGGCTTGAGACTTTTACATTTTTCATAGATTTTCTTTGCAAAATTAATTGATTAATAAATTGCTTGGAAATCCAATTCTTAATACTTCTGCAGAATAATTTTGGCTGCTGACGTATAAATTCAATAAATTCTTCATAGTGTCGTTTTAGTACTGAAAAAGGGTGATCCTTATCATGATATTTAAACATTCTTGATGGTTTAGTAACAGAAGCCAATTTGAGTAGTGACGAGCTCTGCTGATAGCTTCCATTTGAATTCGTACTGTTATCATTGAGATTGGATGTTGTTGAATTGAGAGAATTTCCAATTGAGACACTTGCGCTACTATTGGAGCTCCAAAAGCCTTGAAAAAGCTTTTTACCCGTTGCTTTGGCAATAGACGTTGCAGAAGCACTTGTTGGAACCAGAGTAAGTATATCATCGGTAGAGGCTGATAAATGACTGCCAGCAGCACTAGTCGTGAGGAGAATATTCATAAAGGATGGATCACTTCCGAGCCAAGGTCCCTCCATCATTGTTTGAGAAGAATAATTCTTGTCCACTGCAACAAATTGCAATCGTGTATGATTAATAATTAATGGTAAATTCATTCTCCATCCATTGATTCTATCACATGCATTTTGGATATCGGTTCGTAACTGTTGATGAAATAGATTTTGTTCACGAAGTGTTTTTTGAAGTCTGCTCATCCGATCGAGTATGCCCAATTCTTCTGGTTGTAATTGTTGTGGTTGTTGCAGTTGTTGATATTGCTGTTGTTGTTGTTGTTTAAAATCGGAAGGATTTAAAGCCATTGAAAATCGGTGGTTATTAAGAATACTGAACATGGAGGATGATTTCGGGATGGATTGGGGCTTTAATTTATGATTGGTCTCAGAGTCTGTTGGATTGGAATCATTGTGTTCGTTGATGAGATCGGAAGATGATGATAGAATATTAAGAGCAGGTGATGATGAAGAATTTAATAGACTTGTTGGTGTGGTCAAACGAATTGGTGATGGTGATCCAGACATCCTATTATTTCATTATTTTTTAGTTTTGATAGTGAAAGTTTGTTATAAAACAACGTTGCTGAATGTATACTAATTTATTCAACAGTGTATTGAAGAAGACCATCCAAATGTCCTTGACCTGCAAACACGATGGCATGACCAGTTTTACTTGGCATTTTAGTGGTCAAAGTGTAGATTGAAGATCCATCTTTCTTTGAAAATGCTCTCATGTCAGAATCAATTGACATGTACATGGCCATGTCACACTTCTCTGAAGGAGCTTCTATCTTAAAAGTGTATTCAGAATTCCGTTTAAGTTTTCCAAACGAGGGCTCAATAAGTTTAAAACCTAACTCTCCCATTTTAGGGAAAACAAGAGGAAAACCAGACAGATCCATTGATGCAGAATCAATTACTTTAAACACATAGGTGCAACCCCAGTCTTTCTCTCCGTTCGCTTCGCGTCCAACAAACACTAACAATTGATATTCCACATTCTTCTTGGGCAGAAAAATTTTAACATGGGCAGTGTCACCATTCTCTGAATAAATAGGGTTTACGTTACTGAAGAGAGGAGAACCTCCATCGGCCTCTCTTAAATTAAAAAGCCATTTTGTTCCAGGCAGGGCCTTCATCACCACTTCCTCAACATTGGACTTTTTCAAAATATTATATCCTTTGTGGTGAGAGACTGAGGCTAGACCAAAATTAAAACCAGTGGCATTAATACAAACTCGATCTTCGTACACTGACTTGGAGACTGGAGTTGGAAGAAGCTGCCAATTGTTGTCTGATGGAAAATGGGCAGCAATAAATTCATAAGGTGACATGAAAAAATATCTATCGACAAATCTCGCGGTGAAACTCTTTCCATTAACATATCCAGCACCCCAAGTTGCCTCAATTAAATGCCATTGACCGTCCTCAGTTTTAATTGCTGTCCATGCATGGTTGGTAGACGATATTGGTTTTCCAATTTCATAGGAAGCTCCCTTTGCGTAACCGTTAATGCTAACACAATCAGAAATGCCAGCAACCTTACACATTTCCTTAAATAGGTCACTGTACCCAGAGCACACAGCTTTTCGAGACTGCCAAGCCGACGTCGAGGTGTAGGACATTTTTCCGCTATATAATCCCTCAACGTCGTACCTAATGTTGTTGGTGATCCATCTGTAGAGAGCTCTCGCTTTTTCCTCAATGGTGTTATACGGACTGGTCAAATATTGAGCACACTTCTCCAAGGTGGATTCTTCAGATTTTGGAATGGAAAGAGCCCGTTGATCTATTTCAGCATAGTTATGCTCATACTGTCGGTACACTTTATGGTCTGGCTGGAATGGAGACGCTTCAAAATTTTCTAAAACGGAATCTGGCACTGGAAGACGTGCCACATGTTGTATTGGTTTCGATTCTGAATGATCTTGTTTATCATGGGCTTGTTGTTTGTTTCGAGCTGAGACTTCTGCTTTTTGGTCGTTGGCATTTCGTTGTGCAATATGTTGTGACTTGGTATGTGAGTTCATTCCTTTCGTAGATCCTGAATTTATGTTCTTATTTACAGTGGAACGATTGGAGGGTTTTGCTTTTTGAGCGCTTGTAGGGTTGGTGGCAGTGACATTATTTCTAGAGTGCTTTTGTTGAGATGATGTTGGTTCTGGTGGTTTTGAGGCAATGAAGGAATGTTTTACAAGGGTTTGAGTCGTAGAGGTCGTTGTGACACCATTCTTAGTAACTGTTGTTGTGGTCGTGGAAGTTGTTAAGGACGTTCCTCTTGTTCCTGAACTACTACCGAGTGGTCTCCTTCCAGAACGACTTCCCAACATGTTCGATTCCCATGCTGGTCTTCGTTTTATGAGAGAGTCTTTTTCTGAAAGATAGGGCAATCCCGAAGCACCACCATTCCGCTTCGGAACAATGTTTGTGTTTTTCATATTACTACAAGTTTGAGAGGACGATTAAGGATTTGCAAAAGTGGATAAATATTCAAGCGTTAAACAATGTTTCAACCACACAAATATCACAATGCAATCAGTGGTGATTATGTGCACCTCATGAATGAAATCCGTAATTTTTCAAAAGGCTCTCGCCGAGAGGAATGTCGAGTCTAACTGCCTTAACGAATTTTTTTGTTTGGTTTCTGAAGAAAACGAATGGAGAGAGATCGACCAACCTTGATGTTCCTTAGTTCATGAAAAGATTTCTTAGAGAGATGGACAAGATTTTGTCTTGTTTCCAATAGTTCATGAGAGTTCCATGGTTGTGCCAATCAACAAGCTTGATCCATCCCAACTTGTTCATCCGTTGTGGTGTTTCGATAATCTCTTCCAAGAATTTCAAATTGAAGAAGTAACAATTTATTTCAGACCAAATAATTGACTCACATCTGTTGGTTGTTGCTTGGCCATGCACATCTTCTTCAATTCTCTTTCATAGGTGTTCCATGTTGGTGGTTGCGAGAAATCATGTACTACATGCTCACACATTGGCATATTTACAGGAGTAGCAACCACATTAGCCAAATTCAGTGGAGATGGATTCATGGAGCCAAGAAGAAGCGTTAATAATTGTTGTTCCATTAAGGTATGTTGTTCTGGAGAGTAATTTCCTTGTAACTTCAAACTCTCGCAAGTATCAAACAAATTCGATGCAAACATGTTGGATGCTGAGAAGGGTGATTGAGAAGCAGCCACATACGACGAAGAAGATGGAGTGGAGGTTGAGCTGTTTTCTTGATATTGATCGCGAGTTCTCTTTGCACCCTTCTTGTTTGAGGCGGAAATCGTCAACGAAGGTTTTTGAGATCCACAAGTTGGAGTAGTGGTGGACTCTTCTGGAGAGAGGACAGGAGTAGTTGTTGTTGGGGTTGTTTGTGGAGAGTCCTCAGCCTCATTGGAACTGGTTGGGCTAGCACTGCTCGATGGTGGTGCTGATTGATCTTGTGCTTGTTGCATTTGCTTTTTAGAACCAGGTCTTGCAATTGGCTTCTTGGATTTGATGACGAAAGGAGGCGACTTTAAAACCACAACATCCTTATAATTGGTTGAGTTGGTATTAGCTCCTTCTCGAACCGACAAGATCACGAGCAATCTAAACTTTTTGTATCCATACTTGTAGGAACAAATATTGAATTGGAATGGACCCAATTTCAAATTCATACCATCGAATGCATGTTCAGTGTTGGACATGCAACAAGGTTGGCCATCTCCTGGCAACACTGGAGAACCATCTTCAAAGCAAATCTCAACTCTACACTTGACCTTATTCTTATTCAATTCGTTGAGAGCTTTTCGTGAAGGCTGTTTGGCATTCTGAGTCGTGAGGGTTGCAGCACTCACATAATCATTACCAAAGCTATTCATCTTCATGAGCATGTGATACTTGTATGGAATTTTGTACCATATAGTTTCGAATTGAGAGGTGAAAAACTCTTTTCGTTTCTTGCATGCTTTGAATTGAGGAAATTCACCCAATTCCCATTCGTGTTCTCGCTTGGAATCGAGCCATTCAACTTGCCAAGCGTCGTTGGAGGATGCAGTGTTGCAGTGTTCTGACGACTGATCGTCCAAATTTGGTTGAGAGAGATTGTTGCTTGGTGATGAGTTGGTCATGGATGACGTTGGAGGAGGTGACTGAGTGATGCTACTCACTCTTGATTGCTGTTGATGATGTTGTAATTGTTGTTGCTGCTGTTGGATCAATCGTTGTTGAGCAATGGCCTTGTACGAGAGTGTGGTCATGGCAGCATTTGGTTGAGAATGCAACTGAATGTGTTGGTGATGTGGTTGTGGTAAATGATTCACTTGGAGAGATTGTTGTGGTTGTTGTGAAGCTGTCAACTCCTGAAGTTGTTGGATGTGAGAAAAGAGTGCTTCATCCATGTCCAAACTAAGGAAATCTGCATTGTTGCTGCTTAACATGTTTTCACACAAAGCAGCTTGTTGCTGATGATGTTGCTGTTGTTGATTTAAAACAAACAATTGTTGTGGGTTTTGAAGCAAATTATGAGAAAGTTGATGATGATGGAAATATGGATTGCTGTGCACTGGGTGATGGAATGCAGATGGTGTGGAAGTGTACAAGGAATGTTGCTGTTGCTTTTCCAGCATTAAAGCTGTCAATGGATAACTATTAGAAGCTGTCGACAAGAGGTGTTGCATTTGTGTGGTATTTGGGTGGATGGAGTTGACAAGGTCAAGATGATTTGGTGATGACGAGGACGAAGAGGAGGTTGATTCCACTGGTTGTGTGGGTGCTGTGTAGAGAAGAAGATTAGAATTGCTATTGGCTGTGTTCACAGAGGTAGCAGCTGCTGGATGATAGAGAGAATGATATAATTCCATATTCATGTTAGTTGTACAGTTGAAGTAGTGGTAAGAATGTTTGGGAAGAGGTCGAACGCTAGATATATTCAATGTTGTTGGGTTTCCTGAATATAGTTGAGAGGACAGGATTGGGAGTTTTAGGCACAACGATTCGTGATGTGATGGGGTGTTATCATGCGCTTGGGATGACAACAATGTATCGGCTTGAGTTTACAGAGGAAGACAGTCTCTTTGGGCTGTATGGAGGGACAAAGGGTTATTCGCTGATGCTTTAGTTAATCCAGTGCTTTCACTTTTTTCAATATGGTTTCATTCGCAAACTCTTGGCCAAGCTGCTTCTGAAGGTGTTAACCATGATATCACTCATTGATTAAGCGTGATAAAAGCGTGATAAACAAAAAATCACGAGTATCTCTCGCAAAACGGAAAAACTAGCGAAACAGTGATGACAGGTGAATGCGGGATTGGTGACGATTTGGACTTCTGATCTTCAATTTGATAAGGATCAAGGTGATAAGGTCATGTTTCAATCGTTAATGTACTGCTTCAAATGCAAAGGAAAGGAGCAATAAGGCATTGACATGTCTTTTGCTTTCCACACCATGAAAGTTTTTTGAACATTCGTTTTTCAATCGATGTGGCCATTTAATGTTCAGTTGAAATGACAAACTCCAACTTTGTTTCAAGCTTTTCATATTTCATTGATCAATCACTTGTTTCAAATTGATATTAATCTTTTGGGAATTTATCTATTTAATGGTTCTGTTTCTCTAAAAACAGCAACGGGCCGTAGTTGCAAAATACAGCGAACCATGAAGACGACCCGTCTCAATTGAAACTAAGGTTGATCACACAATCAACGTTCTTGTCGTCCATTGAATTTCAAATTTATGTACCCTTGTACATACATTAAACCACTCCTTGTTACCATAACACCCCAAGCTCACGCTGTTATTACAACAACACAGTCTTGTTGACCCAAAGTAGCTTTATCGAATATATCTTTACAAAATTAAAATGACACATGGCCTTCAAATTTTAGCTGGAGTTGAACGCGCTCTGTGTCACTCTTAATTTCGCAAAGATATTCATACCAGACTGTTTTCAAGAAAGGATTGTTCCGGGAAATGAAAAAACGAACGCACCCTGAGCGCTCAGGTTGGACGTTTTTCATTTCCGAAAAAATGTTCCTCTTCAAACGCAAGAATAGTACAAAGGCAAATTCTGGCAGTAATGGTTCAGCCAACAACAGCTCGAGCTCCGAACAGAAACAACAATTTACGTTTGCAATTCAAATTGAGAGTATAGGTAAGTTTTTTATTTTCAACATTTTGATCATGGAATGCTAATAATTGATGATGATCTCTGATGATGGCTCTCAATAACACCGCATCTTGTCATTTCATGATCATGCCTCATTAAATTTGATGATTTTGTTGAACAAATCACGACCACCACTCACATTCAATTCCTAAACACATGCAACAACAGATAACATTCCTCTCTATTTTCAAGTTCCGCTCGGCGTGGAATTGCACAAACTGAACTTGACAACTGTGCCTAGCCAAGCCATTTTAACATTGAAAGGAAAGTTATTCAGAAAGAGAAAATTGATTGGAAACACACCTTTTAAATTGGCTGATAGTGCCACGAAGCAAAGTAATTTTTCCTCAACTCTTGAATTTTTAGTGAATATTCCCGTTGACAAGGAGAAGAAATATATTTTGAAAGGACCAGTCACATCCTCAACTGTGTTTGAACCAACATGCAACGATTCTCAACAACCAGAAAAATATGATGAGAACAATGAGAGTGATGACGAATCTGCTACCATGTGCAATAATAGTATGGGAAAATTCTTGCACATTGTAGTAGCCAAGAAAATAACTTCTGCATCTAAATCTGTGTTTGTCAATGATTGTTTGTTGGATTTGACACATTATTGTAGTTTGCAACATGAGTGGCAGGGACGAGTTTCTGTACCCTTTGAAATTTCGAAAGATGTTACTGCAAACATTAATTTACAAATATTTTCCGTTTTGGGAAATCAATTAAGCTCAAATGGAAGACGATCTGGCAGTTTGGATGTTCAACGAGGTCGAACAAATAGCTTATCAACAACACCACCACAAAAACGAATCGACACTCCTGTGAATGATACAACCGACACCTCTCCACAGCAACAACTTCCAAAAACATCGTCAAATTCAACGTCTTCGACGCCTGTCAGCACATCCACAAGCACACTAACTTCTGCAACTCCAACAGCCTCACCTCCACAAATTCCAATTTCTCAACTCTCTATTAAGGAAGTCGATATATTACAATTTGAATCAAACACAATATCACCAACAACTAACAGTGATGTAAATGACAACGGACGAGCTATTTTAAATACTAACACCAACAATGTCGGGAATTTCAACAACAACTCCAATGGCCTCTCTAATCAGGGTTCTATGAGTGACTTTTTCAAACGAAGAGCGGAGGTAAATAGTGGAAGGTCTCGATCTGACTCCTCACCTGGAGGCCTGCAGCTGACAAATACAATAACCACATCCAACAAGTCCTCAATGCCCTTAACACCAACTTTTGACAACAACTTGTCACATTCTCCAACCGGTGCATATCAAACAACCAATTCGTCATCAGAATCTCCTTCATTAGAATCAATCAAACAGGAGAATGCTCATCTTAGATCAGTTTTGCAACGAGCTAAAACACGATTCCAAGAAGTGGTAACAGAAAACACGCAACTCAAAGAGAGAATCCAACAATTAGAGGCACAAGTTCTCTCATTACAGCTTGCACAAAGCAGCGGCAATCAAACACAACCCAAAACCATGCAAGATTTTTTTGATCCATTTCAATGAATCAATTTCATGTAACCTTACACAATAATGTAAATAGAACGAGTCATTTCTTGAATAGTATTTCCATCTCAATTAGAACCTCATTTGATCGTCGAGTATAAGAATAATGATAAGGAAACGAATTCGTTACAATGAGTATTGTGAGCTTCCTATTCATTGACGCTTTTCTTACAACGTTTGTAAGAAACAGCAGATCTGAAGTTACCCAGCGGCCAAAAAAGGTTCACACACCGAAGTCTTCGCAACATAAACAAATACCTCTTACTAAAGCAGTGGAAGATTGTAAATTCTCGTGCCTCCTCTCACACGAAAACAGTTTTCATGTCGCAATCAATTGCCTTCAAAAGATGTGCTGTCAAATATCAAAACTAGGTTGAGTGCGAATGAGATTCTTGTAAGTTGCGTATCAACAGTGGTTGTTTTTCGACAACAACGACGCGATTATTGGATGCATCTACGTAGAACCCTTCATCTCTTTAAAAAGAATAACAAAACACCTCTCATCTCTCTCTCAGAACCACATCCTCTCACAGACGTGATCATTCTTTTACAGCGCTGGACAATCATTGTGACACCATTCACTCTCATCTTTTTAATCATTCCAAAACCACCATTTCTTGATCATTTCACATTGCAGTGATCGCAATAACAACAACCGTAACCATGCAACCATCCAACTCTCCAATCTCTCCTTCCTTTCTCAACAAATTTCTTGGAAAGTCTTCCAACAGTGAAAGAATTAACAATAACAGCAATAGCAACAACAGTAACAACAAATCTTCATGGTCCTCTCTCTTTGGTTCTTGTGTCATTTTACCTCTTCATTGTATCATCATTATTGTTCACTCGAGTCACGCAACATCCAATTTGGAAAATTATTTCAAGAAAAATGAAATCAACAACAACAACAACAATTGCTCTTGTTCAAATTCATCGTCTTGCTCATCATCCTCATGCTCATCATCGGAACGAAGAAAATCCATTCATGGATCTAGCACTGCTACTTCTGCAGCGATTCAACAAGTCCGCTCTCATTCAGAATTGATGGCAACAGCCTCCACGGGACATCTTCTCGATAAGAAGCTTTCAATGAATGATTTAAAACAACAATCATATGGAATGAATCATCCTCCATTGATGAATCATGATTTAGTCCTCCATGATCAACAACAACAACAACCAAACAATTCTTCATATCATCCCAACGCAAATCAGCAACAACAACAACATTCGGATGACTCGGCTGGCAATACCACAAGTCATTGTTCTTCCTCGTCCTCCGAGAATGATAACATGTCTTCAACCTCATCGTCTGCATCTCCTCGGTCTTCATCATCATCGTCCAAGAAGGCAAAGATTTCAAAACGGCAAACGAAATGGACATTGGAAGATTGTGGAAATGTTGAATTTTTGAGAAAACGATTTATTGATTATATGGAAGGTCATGATTATATGAATGTCAAATCGCCAGAAATCAAACTCTTATTTCTTGATTTGTTTTATGAAACGACAAGACGAAACTCCAAGCATCCACTGACGAAATGTCATGACGTTCTGATGCTATTGGAAGAATTTTGTAAAAACTATGTGACCTATTTGCAATTGCAAAATTATTTTCATATTGCATTTGGAACGATTGAGGAATTAAGAAGGACAGGATGTGAGTGTCCCTACTTGACCTATTTATCCAATCAAAACAATGGAAATGCATTCAAAGGAGTGAAACATGAAACTCTTGAAGCGTTTTTAAGCACTTCTTTAAGTACACTGAATTCACAAGTGATTCAGTGTGGAAATTCCAGAGAAAACTCAGAAGAATGGAATACACACAATCAAACTCTCGAATCATGCCTGACCAATATCGGATCCATTTGTGACATGTTTTACATTGAATTGGACGACATGTTTTCGTATTTTCAAGCTGTGAAATCGAATCGAGACTTGATGGCTGAATGGCTCAAAAAGGGAATTGAAAATCAAACCATTCCCAAGAATGTCATTGAATTATATCGAAAGAAATTACAAGAAGATGAAAGAGCATTGGAAATGTTTCAATTTCATCAGGATGATTTCAATGCCAAATCCATCATTGACAAGGATTGGGAATTTTCAAAGTATTTCACTAAAAACACCATCTCATCAGATTGGTTCCTAACATGCAAAGAATTTCCCAAATTCATTCAATGGTCAACAAAATCTGCCTATTCGAATAATGATTGGGATTTGAGAGGTCGATCCAAGCTCATTGCCAATTTAGACTATTCCATCGAGGATGTAGTGAAATCATACAATACGGACAAGCATTTAGCAGCTTCATTTTCTAACGTGAAATTCGATGAATATTTTCCAATTGTCGAATCGAGTTCCTTACACAAGTATCCATCGGGTGTCATGAGTTCAGTCTTGGATTTGGGAAAATTGGTCAAAAAGAGAAAAGTCAAGGTCATCTTTTCGACCAAAACAAAATTTGTTGGAAATGAGTTGACAGAATTTACACTCTTCTACAAATCGTGTGAACTTGACAAGACTGCCAACGACGATATCAAAGTAACTGTGGTTGGAACGAGAGTGTTCACACGTCTCGACAAGAATCGAACACGCTTCAGTCAGGTGCGAATGGGTAACTTGGGTGGATTTCTAAATCATTCTCTCATTATTCGAAACAAATTAGCGATGAGAAAAATTGCTCGTGAAGAGTATGAAAAGTTGATGGAAATGATTGAGGAGGCGAAACAAGAAGGATTTCCCTTGCCACCCTTAGAAAATAATTACTTGATGAGGGTATGGTGTGAATTTTGTAAACATTATTGTGGTGTGGATATTCGAGAAAAATTAAAGTGAGCATAAAATGTTTCTTTTGCTTTGTGTGTACTATTACAAAACTTTTTTTGACCAACCCTGTGCCGTTACAAATAGTTGCTTTTCAGTCGAAATTAACATTGTTACTTTCGTGTAAATAAGTTAATTTAATAATTCATGAATTGAGATGGAGGTTCTTCCATTTCTTGCAAAAGTGCTAGTACTACCGCTTTCAGGTTTTGAGGTGAGCTTGCAACTTTGGGAAGCACAAATACCAGTCGACGTGGATGGCAAGCTCTGACCTGGATCGTTTGACAGAGAATTTGCACGCAACAAAGGACTACCTGCCAAATGTGGAGGTTGGGAGAAATTGAGGCTGTTCACAACACCGACTGGATCTTCATGAAGTCGTTGTTGCGTCTGTGTTTCAGGTTGTTGCTGCGATTTGACACACATGGTTGTTGGTAATACAGAACAAGTCGCGACGTTGTTAGAATACATGGTTGAGGATGACATTGGTTGTTGCTGTGAATAATAGATCATTGAAGCTGAATTATTGATCTGTGATTGAGGTTGACAGGAAGAATTTGATGGATGCATCATTTGTGAGCTATATTGCTGATGATGATGTGACATGCTTTGTGTTGGAGACGTTCGTGTCGTTGTAGGTGACATTGTAGGTGAGCTTTGAGTCGATGACGATGCACATTCCAATTGTTGTTGTTGTTGTGTCATGATCATTCCATTCTTCTTATCCTTACATCGAAAGACCTTTTCAAAAGGAAGCATTACATCCTTCTTTTTCGCTCGTTTCTGAATTCCATTATGTTCATAGAATACAATTCCTGTCGAAGACAAAGCATTAGATTTAGATTTATGAGAAGATCCAGAAGCTGAGCTCGAGGTTCTTTTGCGCGAAGACGAGGGAGAAGACAAACCAGCGGTTACGGGACTTGAATTCGTTCTTTGATGTCTCACATGTGTCACCGATGAGAAGAAGGATGGATCTGAAATTGGCAACGAGGATGCCAAACCATGAGCGATCGCCACACTCGTCGAAGGAGGACTATTTTGATTCAACATATTTGGAGGAGAAGAGCTGTATGAAATAAATTGCTGTGGAAGTTGTTGAGGTGTATAGTGATGAGTGGGTGGCTGATTGGGAATCCACACATTGTGTGGCAAAGAGTGATGCATCGTCGTCATCATCATGGTCGTCTGTTGTGATTGTCCTCCATCTGGAATGACACTCTGATGGAATGACAGCGTCGAGGAGTTGTTGGGAGCTTCTCGGGTTGGAAAGGAGGTCATGGTGTTGTTGTTGTGGTGGTTGTTATTATTATTCGTTCGAATCCTCTTGTTGTTTTTTTGTTGTTAGGTCATTCCAATTTGATACTCAAAACACACTGCGCATCATCATTGAGAAGAAGAGTTCTCTAACATTTTGCGTGTCATAATCATCCAGTTTGTTCGGTTAGAGCAGTTAAAGAAAGGCGCGACAAGTAAAAAATTCACAGATGGAGGAAAACACACCGCTCTTGGTGACTTCATGGTTACCATGGAAGGCAGGTTTCTCGAACGCATAAAAAACCTAGATCTGTAAATTGACATGTTTAGACCTCAAGTATGTGTGAATCTGTCGAGAGGATGACCTTTGCTTTTTCATTTTGAATAATGGAATACATTATCGGAGAGGATAAATACATTGCGAATCATACAGAGCAAGTTTAGAAAGTGGTTGATTCAACTTTTTAGAGTTGAACGAGGAACTGGATGCATGACACATTGAGGTTGTTGCTGCATCGACCACTTTATCAAATTCTTCTTGATTATCTAGACATGGCAACAATGAATGTCATCTTTTTCAAGAAAGACCCTTACCTTCCTTCTGATACGAGAAATTTCACGTATAGAAAGGAGGTAAGAGAATTATACATTACACAAAGCTTTGTTGCTGAATACTTGACTGTGAACCCATTGTGTACCCTCCTGAAATTTACTTGAGATCCCAGCAACAAACGACAACATTTGATGTTTTGAGTCCGTCATCTCTGAACAAAACCATTAAAGAGATAGTGCATAAATCTAATGTTTTCTCCTTTGAAGAGTTTTTGAAATTTCATGTTTGCATCCAATTGATTTTTTTGAATCAAAGCGTTGAACGCTAATGGCAATAAAAGGTAATCACACCAATTTATGGTATTCACTTTTTTTGAAAACGGACTTCTACAACCGGTCGCTATTTCAATTATCCAACCCGAAAAGAGGGTTGGTTTCATTATCAGGATGGACGTTGCTAAGAAACTCAACCACTCGCTCTGGTAATTTTCAAACACTCATTTTTTAATGAGGTGAATCAATAGGCAAGTAAGGCTAAGAAGAAAAATTGTAAGAGCTCTGTTTGTGATGACGGCAACCATTTTTCTCTTTCGATGTACATCGTGGGTCGCAATGTTTCATTGGAAGAGCTCAATTTACGAATGAGGAAACGGAGTAATGACGGTGTTTTTGAATACAAAATAGTTCGCTTTGCATTCTGGTTGTAATCGCCATTCGTTCCCATGAAATATCCAAATAGTATTGGTTCTTGCCATTTGTATGGTTGATAGGATCCAATGTTGATTCCTCGGTCATGCTGTTCCCGAAACGAGCTGTACTTTATTCGTAATGATCATTTACAGAAGTCCTAAAGACATAGCTTGCTCATTCAATTTAAGAGCTCCTTGATGGAGATGCTTGTGCGTTGAGGTTTCGGCCTTAATGATGAAGATGTTTCAACCTTTAAGGAGGATGACGTGGTTGAGGAAGCGAATGACGAATCAGACAGGAAGAAATTTCTTGAACTTGTTTGAGAAGAAGAGTTCATTAAGGATGGTGGAGGTGATGGTAATTCTTCTTCTCGGTATGGAGAGGATTGAAATGCGTTCATGGTTGTTGGAGAATGCTTGTAGTCTGTTGTGCTTTTTGGTGGCTTCGGAGAAGATCGTTGATTGTCTTTGGATGCTTCCTCAAAGGCAACTTGATGAAAATTCGAAACAACCTTCTTCTTCGCATCTAAGGTTGGGCAAGAATTCGTTCCTTGATGATGATGATGAGGTGGATTATGAACGTACCTACCATGACACGAATCCGTATTTTGATCATGCGTTGGAGTTTCCCTGTCATGCATGACTTCTTTCATGTGATTGGGAGGACCATCAAACCACACATTTTCAAAGGGAAGAGTTTTGGTAAAGTTGGTGGCACTCTTTCGTTTGGCTTTCTTATCTCGACCATTATGTTCGAAAAAGACAAATCTTGGCGAGGAGCTTCTTGGCTGTTGTGTGAAAGAATCATGAGGATGGGATGATGATCCAGAGACGTTCATTGCTTTGTTCTTTACAAAGGGAGAAGAAATGAAAGCACACGAAGAGGACAAGGGTGAGCACGAGTCAGAGTTATTTGTTGTTGTTGTTGTTGTGGTAATTGTTGAACAAGAGCAAGATGCAGAATTTGAAGGAGATGGAGTGGCTGTGCATGTGGCCGTGAGCTTTCTTTTGGCTGTATTCAACTTTTTGGGAATTTCAGAATGAAAAGGTTGTTGATGGTGGGCACAAGCATTCATGATTTGAGGACTTTTACTATTCATAAAAGTTGGTGAGGAACAAACTTGGAGTGAGTACAACGGAGAATGTTGCTGATGATTGGGTACATGGTTTGGTGAAGGATTCGTGAATGCGTTAGAATTGGAAGGAGACGAAGACGAACATGTCAACAAGCTTAATAACGAGTGTGAAATTGGAGAAGATGTTGTTGTTCGTGTTGATGGTCTCGTCGATGTTTTACACGGTTTTGTGATTTTTTGATGCGAGTTTGGTTTCGAGGAAGACACGGAAGCATGGTTGTGTGATGTTTCAATGACTTGTTGTGGCGAAGATGTTACGTGATTGTCGGGTATGTGGTATGCTTGTTTCATTGGACCCAGGTTGAACTGAAATACAGAATTAGCAGAGGAAGAGGGAAACGCTGATTCCACGTAATGAGATTCTTTTTGAGAGGGTAGAAAGGTCGAACCGTCAGATTGAAGTGGAGATTGATGGAGACAGAATTCAAATTCAGCTTTGTCCTGGTTTGTATTATTTGACATGTTTGACCAGGCAAGGATTCCGATATGTCCTTGTTGCTTCACCTTTAGCTTTGTTTC